AAATTAGGGTATTGTGTGGCTTCTGTAAGATACGTAAGTGTAATGGCCCTTTTGTTCATTCCTTCCAACATTTAGTGTTAAAATCAAGCACATACTTTATAGTAAGATAAAACATTAACAATAATTCTGTACTGATACTGGAATGATCTGGATACAAGAAACATTTTTGTTCGATTACAATGGTGTGATTTTTTTCTGACAAATTGCAAAGCATCTTGTTAATGTGGGAAGTGTTTTAATTTTCATGGACAACAACATTCATTTAAAGAAAGGATCAAGAATATTGATCTTTTTTAAATATAAGGTTGGCATGACCTTCAGAATGGCAGAACATGAATGAATTCATTCTTGCTAGGTCTTGCTAAATACCAGGGCTGACGCTATGTAAAAGTGCTTTTTTTTTTTCTTCTTTTTAATCTACACTCATAATATGAAACAGTAGTAAAATAAGATATGCTTCTGTAGAAAAATTCAGAAAGGACTTAGAATTTTATCAGAATATAACCCATAGTACAGTTAGTGGTGATAATATTATTTTTCCTCCTATATGAGCATCTTCATTTTTTTTTCCCTTTTTTTTTTTCACAAATACTGATACTGACATTTTCTAAGCAGTACTTGCTAACTGAGCTCATTTTAACAAGGAAGAAAAACAGAATTTAGTGTAATATAGGCAAAATATTTATCAGCCTAAGTAAAATTTTTCTTCTTGCTTGAACATAGGCTGTATTTTTCATATAAATTCATGTTTTATATAGACTCGTGATAACAATGCAATTAATAAGTTAAGTAAATCACATTTCAGAACCTAAAGAGTTCAGATCAGTATCATTTACTGTCATTTCACATGTACGAGGCACTGTACATTTAATATTCTTATCCCAGTACTTGAAGTAAAGTCTTCAGTGAAAATAATGAAAACTTGCCCAGAGTCAATCCAAGGAGGGAAACGGAAGTGAATCCGCAGAGATGGTGGCTTGGAAAACTTTATCTGTGCTCTCATGAAGGGGGTGATTTTCTGAGGAGTTCTTTGAATTATCTACTTCCCCTGCCTTCTGCGAGAAACAATTCTAACACTCTGAAGTACTTAAGTACAGCTCAAAAAGAAAATGGAAAAGCAGACCGTAGTCAGATGGACTATCTACTGCCAGCCTTCCATTCCCATTTAATCTATGCTACCTCATTCTGTTGTTTTAGCAGAACATATAGAAGACATTCATCATTTTTCCTTACCAGTGGAAAATCAACAAGCAATTCATGGATGTAAATCAAAATAAAATGATTTGTTTCCTACAGTTCCCATCTGTAATTTTCAGACGTTGACTGGGCTAAAACTAGTTGTAGCCAGCTTTACCAGACTACTGGTGTCTTACTCACTTGGTACTACAAATATTCTGTCTACTTTATATCTATATATATATCTATATGTATATTTATATCTGCCATTCTGATCTATATCATTGGTAGTTTAGATGCAGAAAAATAAACAGTATATTTGCTTGTGTGACTGAATATGAATTACTGTTTTACTTAATAAATTCAGAGCTACTGCCGACAGGATATTTTTTCAGACAGTAACTTTTATTTTAATCCATAGGAAGAAAATGCATAACTCTATATGTGAAAAGCATAAAAATTCAGGCATGGTCTCAGTATTAAGTGTTCTAGTAATTCTAGAATTGCAATTCTTATTTGTAAGGTCTGTGTTTCAATTCATATTTTAGTTTTAAAAAAATCTGGGATACCTTGAAAGGTAGTATTCTATGAAGGTTTGCTTTTCATTGCTATGACTATGAAATTATCTTTCCTTCTTAAACAGAGTTGCTGGAAAGCTAAGAGGTAAATGAATTCTGAAACACTAAAGGTCAGAAAAAATTTCAACAATAGGTTTTGGCTTCTGCTTATATAGGACACTTCATACAAGATGTAAAGCTGGCTTGCTATTAGTGGAGTTCAGAATAGGATTCTCTCTCCTGTGTTTCTGAATCCATTCTCAGATTTTAAACTTAGCACTTACCAATATGTGGCGTATATTTATTATCTCATTTGCCTCCAAGAATTAAAATATAAATGGAAGTCTTTGAGCTTTGGCAAAGATGTTTGAATCTCTAAATAATTTTGCATCTTCTAGTGGCAACTCTGTTGATTCTGTTATTTAATGAAATGTAATGAAGAAGACAAGAGGAATATGAATATATGCAACCTATCAAGTTCCAAGCAGATTCTTTATGTTTGCTTTTTGTAATTTGTTTAGCTCATGAGAATTCCTCATAATAACATTCTGAATCTAGATAATACAAAAATGCTTTTAGTTATAAAACATGGAAGTTATCTTGTTGGGGATAGAGATTGGAGAGAGAAACATTGTTTCATCTAGTTGTCAGAATCTAATTGCAGGAAATAGAAAGTCATTAAAAAGACCTAAGGTTAAGCCATTTTGGAAAGATGCAAATAAGGTACTTGGCTGTCTCTACAGTGTGTTTATTTGCTGTAGAACTGAGCAGAGAGCAATTCTGAACTATCGATCAGGTTCAAAGAAGCCATAAGTCTGGAAATAAGACTGTGATGTTAACTGTACATCAGATGCCTGGTACAAATCCGAAAATAAAGTAGAAGAAGCATGATATTCATGATATTAGTTACACAAGAAATAAATAATCTGATGTATGCTTTTGGGCTTTGACATGTACTCTTTTTTTTTTTTTTTTTTCTTTTTGTTTTGTTCTGTTTTGGGTTGTTTGTTTTTTTTTTTTGTACACAATAACATGCTGTGCTTCCGTATCTGTGACGCGGACAATGACAGATATAAATTATATGTAATTGAATTTGGAATACATTGATTGATACTTACAAAACTCCTCTGTTTCTCCCAGTCTTTCTAGATTGCTCCAGAGAAAAGTTTCACATGCTAACTGTTAGGTTTTCAGTATTGGTGCTGTTGTAATTTGTTAAAATTCATCATTTCCAAGTTCTGTTACTCCATCAAATCTGAATCTTGTTTTAGCCTTTGATAAGATGTTGTAGTATTAAAAAAAAAAAAAAGAAAAAAAAAGTATTTTCAAGAACATTTATCAGATTAGTCAAATACTTTTTTTTTCTTTCTTTCTTTCTTTTTTTTTTTTTTAAATATGGCACAAGAGATACACAGATGCTAAAAAAAAAAATAAAAAAAATTGCATATTATCAGCCTTGGACATACTGAGAGACTTGGGCCCTGTATTCCCAGGCAATCAGTTCATTGTTGTCGAACCTCAGCTCTCTCGTCAGTAACTTTTTATCCAAATCACAGTAGAAATTTGTTGGTCTTCCTTAACTCCAGTTGGCTGTGCAACTTTTATCTACCTGATGTTTCAAGTGTGGGACTGGACTTTTATGAAAATATGAAGCTTCCAGGGGTCTAAACTTTTGCTGAAAGGTGTACTTGGGGATGTATGAAAAACTTATGTGATGACGTGAGGTGTGGAATAAAAGGATGAAACAAATACATTCAGTCTCTTTTTACTATGTTTTTAAATGCTAGAAATGGAACTGGATTTTTGGCCGAAGTTTATGATGTTTAGCCAGGGGTATTCTACAGTTCACTGATGGGGACATCCTTTACTGGGACATGGAGTAAGACTTTATGTCAGGCTTTATAGTGCCTTGTACTTCAACCAAAGTCTGTTTCTTGCATTTTGGAATTACACTGAGAGCAAGAGCTCTCTAATATGAATACCTCAAATCTTAGATAAGTGCACCAGTTCACTCTTCTGTAGACTTTCCTTGAGTTCTTGATTTTCCTTGAGTTCTTTATTATTTCTGGTATGTTTTAGAGCTGTTACTTCTAGTGATATTTTTCCTCACAGAAGTATTGTGAGGAACTGCATTATTTACATGAAATAATATTATGGAAATTATGTAAATTCTAAGAATTGAATTTTATACAGATGTGCCCATTCTTTTTGTTTGAAATTTCACAAGAGTTTGTTGTCCCTCATGGCTTCTATTTCTGCTTTTTGGTCACCCAGTTTATTAGCTGTCTATCTTTCTGTCACTGGAAAAAGTCCAGCTTGGTTTTGCTGAGAGGAAGATACAATAATAATTGCTTGCAAGACACTATCTGCATATGATCCATTTAAATGGCTTAACAATTAATAATTAAATATACACCTATTTTATGACTTAAAAAATAGGCAAAGAATCTGATAGCATTTTTAGGTTCATATACAGGTCTCCACTGATGTTTTTTCAAGGCATGGATACTCCAGAATTGCTTAGCAGCAGTCGGTTTTACACAGTACCATGTTAAGCAGTAATATTACAATAGCAGGCAGTGTTTTATGGAGTAGTTCCAAGAATCATTATCACTTCCATAATGAGAAATTAAGGCAACCTTGTGGCATAAAAAAAAGGTTAATAGAAAAGCATGAAATCTGGCAGATGTCCTCTGGTAATGAAATGCAAAGGATTGAGAAGATAAGAATAAAACATTTCCTCACTATGCTAGTTGGCCACTTCACAACAAAGACTCCTATGGTTTTATAGATTATATTCTGCCCTTAATTTCCTTGCCAGCCAGCACTCTATGCTCTCCCCTAAACTCTCTTCTGAGATTAACGTTCTGTCTCTGACATGTATATTATTTTGAATTGAGATTCAGTACACTCTCTAGCTGTCTCATATCCAGCTATAGTTCAAAACATAAATAAGACTTGAAGAGATGTGATAACTTACTCAAATCAGACTTCTGTTGCCCTTAGTCTAGAATAAAGACAAACTTTCTCTCAGACTAGTAAGTAAAAGAAATCCGTAAGCAATTGGCTTTCCTTGAGCATAGGAAGTTATGGAATATAAATTCAAATATGCCTGATATTAAACCTATTTAATCAGGGTTGGATGCAGTATCCTAGAAGATTTGACAGCTGAGCAATAGTTTGCTGCGATTTCTTATAAATTCAAGTTATCTGACTCAAACCGCAGTTACCTGAAATGAGCTTTATGAGAGCTACAACTGTGAAGAAATGAGGTCCACTTTTCTGGAACCTCGTGTAATTCCAGATATTGCTGTAGCATGTAGGCAGCTTGCTGTCTGTCAACACTTTGATGAACTTTTGATAAGTAAGATGCCATGTGGATACGTTTAAAAAGGTAGAAGACAAGCTGTACACCTAGAAGGATCCTACACAGTGATGATTTTGTTTCTGCATCTAAGACTCTACATTCCTACTTTAATTAGAGCATTTTTGATGCTCTTTGTTTTTCCTACAGAATGGTAATACTATACTGAATTGCAGGTTTTCAGAGATTGCTGCAATATGAGTGCAGGGTTGGATAGCTATGCAGCTTATATGAATGCGTGCATACATGCTATTCAAGACAGACCTGAGGGATAGCAAAGAATCTTTGCCCCTTTCCTTAATGAGTTCTGTTCTCTTGAACTTCTAGTTCTACTCTGAGCTTCAGCTTTTCTTGTCACAGTTCATGATGTACAGTGCAATACAGAGTTTTGTCTGAATTCTGCCTTTTAAAAATAAATTCTGTGCAATGCTTCAGGCATCACACCCCACAACCTGGTAGAGAGCTCTCATTCTGTACATACAGCAGAAAGAGAGTGATATCTGAACATTTCACCAAAATCTTTGTAGCTGAGTGCAGCACAAGGAACATTTAAGTGCTTTCTGTGTGAATCATAGCAATGTGCATACCACTGAGTCTCAGGAGAACTGACAATAGTTGTCTGCTTATCATAAAAGGAATAGGAGGCTCTTTTGTTATGTTTTGTTTTGTTTTCAGTGTAAGCTCAGAAACAAATTGAGTATGTTTTGTATCTGTAGGTGAGCATGGATCTGTGGAGACAGGAATGTTCTGAAGTTTGGAGATAAAATAATTTTTTGCAGAAATCATTTTTTAAAATGGACTTTGGATGCTTCTTTGGATGCCTGTAGCACTCTCTACTCTTTTAGCCACATGATTCTCTATTATCATTGGTTGTTTTTTTCTAGACTCATTTTGTGGAAACAGCCACTCTCATTTGATTTCATGTTTTGTTCTTTTTTCTTTCTTTTTTTTTTTTTTTTTCATAATTCTGTGAAAACTTGTTATTATTTGTGTGTCTGTGAACTTTTATGAAAAAAAGATTTAAGCACACAGGCCTCACTATTCACATACACTCCCTTCCAACAGCATGCTTGGTACTTTCTTCAAGAATCGATTAGTTTCACATTTAATTTTTCCTGAAATACTTGATTCAGACTATCACATTTTTTACCCTTATGATAAAATTAATTGAAGAAAATTAATTAAAGATTTAAAAATTAATTGAAGTTCAACATCTATACTGGGCTGTATTTAATCCTGTATTACATAGTTCATAGTTAATTTCAATATTATGTTAATTGCATCCTGACACACTTTCACCAGTAATGCACATTTCAGTGTGCATGATAAATCTCCATCTGACTGCTTGTTGTACGTACTCTGGGGAATCTCCAGTGAGGCCAGTCTTGTATCTTTAAGTGCTTCCCTGGGAATCTCTTTTTGGCTAGTGAAGATCAGTGAAAGCATTAGCTGCAAATAAAAAACCATGCCCTATTGTGGCATGCAGAGTACATCTTTAGAAGTGCCTGTTGTCATCTTTGCAGACTTTCAATAGCAATGTAATGATCTTTGTCTAATGGAGATCTAGTTACTGTCAGCAACAGAAGGCATATGTCCAGAGAGAACAAAGGAGCACTTATTTTCACATTCCACTGATGATATTATGATAACATTTTTTGCATTGTCTTAAAAAAAATATTGTGCAGGTGCTGTTGACTTGATAGCAATTGTAATTACAATAATATGTTTTGTGAAGGGAACTTAAGCTCTCTTCATCAGTCCTAGTTTTAAAATGCCAGTCAAATTCTGTGTGGTAATACTTTGCATGTTACTGTACAGAGTAAAACAATACCCTGGATTCTTTCTTGTTTTCAGTCTTGCATATTTTAATATTTTCTTTGATACTAGATAGAACTAAGAAGTTGATCCTGACAGCTGTAACAATTCCTAGATAAATGTTTGTTCATAATTTTTCAGTTAGTCTCTGTGGCTTAATAAAATCTATGAAAGTAACTAGAGAATGGGTGGAGAAAGACAGAATGTAAAGAAGAGTCCAAAAGATTTATGCGTGAGTGAAGAAGGAAAATAATTGTACTTTGCTCTGGTCTGAAAACTGTAACACAGAGATCACAACACGCCACATATCCTGTCTGTAGGAGGGATGGCATACTTATATATATCAAGCATATACATCTGAACATACATGCTGTGTTGGAGCCTAATGACAGCAGTCTACTTCAACTCAAGGCACTATTTCTTAGTCACTGCCATGTACCTCTACATATTCCACTGGCATGTCGTTCCACATCTACAAACTCAAACAAGGATACCTGAAGAAAACCTTTCAGCTCCTGTTTTTTCAGGTATTAGTTAGACTGTTTCTGAAGGTACATTGCCAGTGAACTACCAGTTTTAGTAGTGACATGATAAGTAATATGTAGTGTTATGATATGAATATGCAGTATAATGATGGATATAATGGACATGATAGAGAATAGTCTTTTTTTTCTCCGTAAATATATGATCCTGGTCTCAGAATGTAGAATAAAGATGAACTGGATACTGTCTTGGATACTGATAAACAGCAGAAGCAATCTCTCTTGTTAAACTTACTGAGACCAACAAACATAAACAATGGATCCACTCCAAAACAAGGATGTCTCTAGGCAGAAATACTACTGGCTTCTGTAAATGGGCTCTCCCTCCAAAGTCTGCAAGGTTTCTGTCATCTCCTGAGGGACAGAAGAGGACCATTGTACAGAATAGAACAGAGCTGTGTCAGCTTTTATCATGTGCTTAGAGATGTGGTTGCTGAAACTGAAGATCTGAGAGCAACTTTCTTCTTTCCTCTGGGATTGTGTTCTTCAGCAGTGCTACAGCTATAAAATTTCATGCTCTCCCATCTGTCAAATCATTTAATGACTCTTTTAATCTTTAATCTCAGCCAGTGCTTATCTTTCACACATCTAAGAAAATCTGAGAATTGCTTGAGAATCGTCTTCATCTTCCTTTATTTATTCCTTCAGTTACAGGGTGCTGCTGCTTACAGTGTTCCTTTTTTAGGGTCCTTCTGTCCTACTTATTTGCTCTGTAAGATTAAGATCTCTGTGCCATCACTTTCAATTTTACTTACTTTAGTGCTCAAAGAAGATAAAACTTTTTTTATTTCTGTTTTCATCTGATTTCTTGAAAGCTGTTCTCCTTGTTCAAAAAGCTGGATTTGTGGAATGATGTAAGAGAGCACAATGTGGTAAATTTCTTAAACACCCTGCGTTCCTATTGACTAATCCACACTTCACATGCACTGGCTTTTGTTTTCTAATTACAGATGCCAGTGAGGTTGACAATGAAGAAGACAGTGCAGCTGAGAATCAAGAAAATGACAGAGGTGCAGGTCAGTAGGTGTGGATAACTTTGAGGCCACGTTCAGTTACATAAATGAAACAAGGAAGGAAGGTCTCTCTCTAACATCCTGCCTTCTCTCATATCTTCATTTCTGTCACAGATAAAGAGAGGAAGAGAGCAAAACCAAGAACCAGAAGAGGACATGGAAGAGGAAGAGCCAGGCATGGTGGTGAGGAGGATGGAGATGATGAAGATGGAACAAGGAGAGCTGGGCAACGCAGGCAAAGAAACCGGAGAGGACGGAGCCGAGCAGGTGGAAATGAGGGCAGTGATTCTGAGGGGGATCCTACAAAAGCCAGGAAGAACCAGGCAAATCAAAAATCAAAGGAAGATGGTGAAGAAGAGGAAGATGAAAAAGGGGGTAAGAGTGGGAAAGGCAAAAATGAGAAGAAACAGGACAAAAAGGCTGATAAGAAAGGGAAGAAAGAAAAGGCCAACAAGAAGAAAAAGGACAAAAAGAAATCAGGATCTGGGTAATTTTATATATACATATATATATATATATATATAAATATAAAACAATTGTTGCCTTATGTAAAACCTGTTTTCATTTATAGCTGTGAAATGCCAAGAGTTGGCATGGCTCCTTGCCAAAGCTGAACAGGAGGTTTTATTTTCTTTTATTTTCTTCTGGAATGAGGAGATTCTGAGTGAAGTGGAAACTGTCCATAAAGCAAAATCCACTACAGTGAAATGTGGTCAAGGGCTGTCATGTGTCCAGGATGGAACTTTTGAAAATGACTGTACAAACATTTCTGACACCACCAATATTCTGACATTAGAGACAAATCTCATAAATCTGAACAGAAACTTCAGCTGGGGTCTCCCTTACTGTAGTTAAGTGTCTCACATTCTTGAGCTGTTCTCTGGAGTGACAGAGGAAGGAACAAGTGACAGAATGACAGTGAGTGAGGTCTCCTACTTTTTTCCTAAGCAGTCAAACAACCAAAACCAAATAAAAAGCCAGAACCAATCGCTGTCCAGAATCCCAGGATCTAGTTCTGTTTCCAGTGCAGAATCAAATTCTTGACACTTTCCAAAAGTTCAAGTTCTTATTTCCTATCCAGCCTTGAACCAGCTTTTTTTTGTAACAGATGAAAACTTTAAGAGTTCAGAATCAAGCACGGAGACAAAATTCTCCAAAGTTTGTCTATTACTTAACTCCCACTGAAAATTTCCTTTTCCAGAGCATTTAGTGCAACCTGGGGTCTTTGGAAAATTGCTCTGACATAGAACACTTCTGAAAACTCTTTTTATTCTTCTTCTGTCATCCTGGTTTTCCCAGGCAGCATACCCGTTTTCATGATATTTTAAGGAAACAGTCCCTGAGAACAGTGTACGAAAGAGCTAATGGAGCTCAGCATGCTCATCTCGGTGGAGAGGAACAGGAATCTTCTTTCCTCCATTCAGCACTTGCTACAGCTGTTTATGTTCCCAAAGGCAGCACTACGCAGCACAGCAGGAGTCAGAAGGAAAAGAAAATACAATGAGATATGCTGCTGCATTAATTTGTTCATGATCCCATTTCAGTACACTTCTAGTTCACTTCCTTTCCCTACAAGAATATCTAAAATCTTCCTTTGTGCTGGCTTATTTCTGTGGTGCCAATTGTTCCCCACTGTGCAATTTCCTATACTCATATAAGCAACAGGCCTGAATCTGCCAACCCTTGTTCCTTTGCTTATTGCTGTTGTCATCCCTTGCAAGCATTTGAGTGTTAATTTTTAAAAAAAGCCACTTAAAATATAAATTTAAATGAAGGCATAATGTTTTTAATTGTATTACAAAACTCTGAACATTAAAATACACATGTTTAGTCTGAAGAAATTCAGTTTCTATCCAGATCAGCATGTTGTTTCTGAAAGTTGACAGCACATTTGAAGAAAATCTGATGATGCTCTGGAAGATACTTGAAGAACATTATATTCTTAGACATTTAGAGCACCATCCAACAAGATTATGTGATAGTAAATACAAGAATATTTAAAAGGATTTTCAACAGGAAAAAAAAAACAGCAAAGGGAAAAATGATGGTGATCTGTTCAACTATTGTTTATGTGAATGATTTGCATATCTTAGAACAGGAGAGAGTGATGTGAGCACAGAAGTGTAGCCCATCTAACAAGTCTGTGAGGACCTACCGTAGTAAAAGCTAAATATTCTTTGAAAGTATCTCATAGACTCATATAAATTTGAGTTGGAAGGGACCTTTAAAGGTCAGCTAGTTCAATTACCTTTCAATGAACAAAATCTGAAGAGTGCTCAGAGCTCTGTCCAGCCTGACCTTGAATTTCTCCAGTATATGGCAGCCACCACCTCTCTGAGCAAACTATTTCAGTGCCTCACCACTCTTACTAATGTACCTTTTTTAATAGCCAAAAGTAGAGACAAAACGAAACAAATAAAAAGTAAAATGAATATAGAGAATAGAGAAGATGTGGTATAATCGCACAGGGGAATATTGTATTTGTTAATGTTTCTGTGGATTTTGTTGTCCACAAACAATTAACAGTTACTTTTTGGCTAGATATCAGAAGTCAGTAGATTCTGCTTTGCTTACTATTTTCCTACATCCTACTTTTCACCTTAACTAGAAATAACTCTTTATAAACTAATCATTCTGCTTAAAGAAATCCTAGATGAACTCTGTGCTCATACATCTTCTAAATCTTTTTTTCTTTTTTTTCAACCTGCTTGAAGTTTTGATCGTCCTATAGTGAGTTTCATAAGGTAATTCTGTGGCAATTCTATGGAAGCTGTTTCTTGATTACTTTAGTGATTGGTATCTCTTAGTGGGGTGTGAGAAGGACCTCTCTATATCATCCCCAAAATATTTTGACAAATTACTCCATATGAGGATTACTCCTTGTGAGGATCTGTGATATTTCTTGATTTCTGTCATACACCTTGGTTCAAAAGCTAGATTTTTGTTCCTTACTGACTTGTTTAATTGTCTACAATAGCTAGTGCACCTGGTAGTAACCATCTGTTGAAGCTACAAGTAGAAAAGGAATATTATATTCTTCTTAGTCTGTGCATTTCTTTTTTTACTCTGAGCAAATCAATCAGAGTTTAGTTGAATTATTGGAAGATACAGAGCTTTTTCAGGAGTCCAGAGGTACATAGAATTTTAAGGCAGTACTGGCACGGCATCTTCTTTATGCTAGGAAGTGCCAGGGGGTGTTATGGGGATTATCATTGAGCAGTAGAATTTTCTCACACACACAGAAAGAAAAAAGTAGTCAAATTTATTCAGTTACCACTCCAGAGTCCTACTGCTCTTTTCCCTGAAAATACCCAAGCTCCTAGAAGATATTTTCACTTCTATAAAATAGCGTTTACAGCCAGCATAATAAATATAATTTAAATCTGTATAAAAGAGATAAGACTAAAACCAGAACACAGATGAATATTACTGACAGGTTCATCAAGTATATAATTTAAGTCAGTGTCATTGATTTCAAGAGCTTTAAAGACTTAAGAAAAGATGCACTGTGTATATTGAATTGAAGTCAAGGAAAACAAAGATTATTTTGGAATTATTGAGCAATCCTTTCTTCTCTGTGTTAGCCTGAAGGTCATGGTGATCTCTTCTACCCTTTAAATGTATGAAACACTGTCTTTCTTGAAAGACTGAGACTTTTGCTTGCTGAAGGCATAATTCTGATTTCCTCGGTTGAATCTTACAGTGTTCAACCACTGAATGAGTTGCGATTGCACAAAGTTTGGTTGTGTTTTGTAAAGACTCTTGAAAAACCCAAGTAAATAAAACCAATTAGATTTCTTAAAGATGGGTTAAAAAAAATTGAATTCTGAATGTTTTTCTGGCTCTAAAGGAACGTTAAAAATGGAAAACAAATAAAGCAGTAGTGAGCAATTGGCAAAAGAACCATTAATAACTATGCTTGTGTTCTGCATGGCTTTCTCTCTTCAGTAAGGTAACTATATTAACACCTGCCCACCGTATTTCCCTCTACTCTCACTGCAGCCTTGTACATCTGTATATTTCAGTTTTGCATAATTCTACTATTTTCTTCTTCTGTCAAAAGAAGTTCTCAGTACTGAGCATTGTATAATGCTAAACAGCTGATTGTAAAAAATAAGGATTTAAAACTTTTCCTAAAGGAGCCTTTTTTTCTTTATTTTTTCTCAAATCACTTGTTTTTTCTTTTCTTTTTTTTTTCTTTAAAATGCACTAGAATTGTATAATTGTATGTATGTATACTTTTACTGACTTTATCCGTTTGGCCTATTCACTTTTTCATCACATCGTTAGAACAGCCATATATATGGCTGTTCTCAAAATTCTTTAGAAGCATCTTGATATCTCCAGATTTATATTTTCCATTGAGCTGTTTTTCATACCATGAATCCTGAAATTTGAAGGCCAATTAATTCAACTTCTTAATGTTCGGTAAATGACATTTGAGTCATTAATGTTGCTTCATCTGATTACTCTGAGAGTCTCTCACCTCCGTTGATTTACTTTTGTATGCCTGCAGTTTTTAAATTATCTCCCTGCAGATTTTGATGTAATGTTGTCTATTTCATAATACCCTAAGGTAGATGAATAATGAGAAATTCACGTGTACACATTACCAAATATTTTTGCTTTTGTTTTGAAACTCCATAAATATTCTTGCTGCCAAACACTGCTAACGAGAGAGAATGCATTCAGATACTTTCTTTAAATCACATGAAGTTTGACTATGTCTTTGTCATCAGTGTGAGCAGAAGAAAAAGATCTTCAGGTTTCCAGAGGACTTAAAACTATTCTGTTATTTGGCTTACATAGTGAGTCAGCTCTGACACTGGATTTTGAATGTCACAGAAGATTGATTCTGAGACTTGATAAAGTTTGAATTACTGCTAACAAGACAAAACAGAAAACTTCTTTTTTAAAGTACTATATTTCAAAATTTTCAAAACATTAAAGAAAAGCAAAGACAACAGAAAATAGAAACGCATCAATTTTTTTTCTAAGAGCTCAGTTTATGGTAGTCATCACAGTGGGCAGGAAATCAAATTCTGGTGATTTCTTACTTATTAATTTCCTGTTTGATGACATAAGAAGTCACATTTGTTGCTAGAGATGTGCTGTACGCCACCGCGTGTGATAAGATTGCTCACAGAAAAGCAGACCCATGTGGATTTCTGAATTTTTCCCATCTCTGAAAAATTACTGCTTTGATTAGTGGATGGGCTGTCAACTGGTGTTTAAACCTGTCTTCTCTCTTCTGAGGCACACAGAAGTGTGGTGAGGAAGTTCATTTTTTATGGCACCAGTCCTTATTTGCAGAGTTGGTTTGGACTCCCAGAAAGGCTGGTTACTCCTGCAGGACGCATCCCCAGAGTGACTGCTGCTTTTCGTGTGTAGTGTGACTGCTTGGGGAGTAATGCTGGTGAAGCACAATGCAGCCTTTGCATTGATGCTAAACAGTGAGTCTATTTTCTCTTCAGTGCAACAGAGAAAGCATTGTTCTAGGTCTTAGAATTTCTATGAATTTATACCATGTATATGCTCCATGAAAACTTATGTCCGTCCTAATTTTTTGTGATGTTTTTTGTTCCCATTTTTGGCTGAAGCTCTGATTCTGACTCTGAGGAGGAGCCGATTACTGAGGAGGAATTGGCCAAACTGAAAGAAGAGGTAGAAGAAAAAAAGAAGCTAATCGCCACATTACGAAACAAGCCATGGAAGATGAAAAAGAAGTTGTCAGTTCTAAAGTATGGTTTGAATTTCATAATATCTATCTGTCATCCTTCTTTGTATTATCTTTTGTTCTCTACATTTGCTAAGTTTATGTTGGCAATTGCTTCAAATGATAAGTTTAAGCTCTTCTCAAGGAAAAATGATGCAACTTAAGAAATAACACAGGGTAATTGCAGTGAGGAGAGAGGAATTTCCTTTTTATTCTAACTTTCTCTAGAGAAGAATACGTTTTTTGGAGTTACAGAAGAGGAAACATGAATGAAAATTGAACTTGATTTCTCATGCATTTTCAAGTTTGCCACTTATAAGTTTGCCAGCAAGTATATCATTACATTTTCATCAGTGCAAAAATGTCAGTTAAATTTCAGTTAAATAATCAGTTATATTTTCACCAAACACAAGAAACTGGGTTAACAAATAGAACTTTATTCTCTTGCCAAAGCTGCTGTACTCCTCTGTTTTCAATAACTCATTCACTGCAGTACTCTCCAAACATCAGCAAAATGCATGGTTGTGTTGAATTAGGCACAAGTAACAGAATACCAGAATATTCTTCTCCAGGCGGTTTTTGAGATGGTGAGAAAACATGAATCGGATGAGAGAGCATATGAGATGGGGTGTGGAAGGTCTGTGACTTTTTCTTTCTATAAAGTAAAATTATTCTGGGGGGAGACATTAACAAATGAACATATTAAAGGCATATTGTGAAAAAAGGATACATGGAACAAAGAAAAAGAACCGAGTGCCTAGGAGATGTAAAGTAGAAGCACTATGAAAGTCAGGGAATTTCAGGAGAATTAGGTGACCAGATTATATAATCAGACAACAGTTACTATTTTTTGCTTAGTCTTACTATGAAATGTTTTTAGTTGGAGGAGTAATTCTAGTCACCCTCTGTGACTGAAAATTGATATAGCTTAAGAGTATTATGAGGTGGATTTTCCCCGTTACGCCAATAGCAAGTTTTCAAAATCTTGTTGTCTGCCCATGTATTGAGAATTATTTCTTTATTAATATTCAGTGTGAATTTGGCTTTGTACATTCAACATGTTCAGTAATTCTACCTAAATGTCAACCATTTTAATCAACTTTTATATTATTATATTCATGAAATCTAGACTGGGAGACAAGGTCCGCATTCAGTTTTATTTGTCACCATCAGAAGGATTATTTTAATAAAAATTATTCATCAACAAACTTCTACAGGAGCTGTAAAACAATGTTTTTATTCTTCTGGATTTTGCTATAGCCCTCTCTGGCGTAGGCTTAGAAATTATTGGCACTTTATTTTGTTTGCCCCAGAAGAGAATGTTTTGCAAGAGAAAATGTCAGTTGTTCAGATTAGCTTCTTTCAGTCTACTCTTATTATCTTATTAATTATGAGCACATGTAATAACATATTTTAGTATATTGATACATTTGTTTCAGATCTGTAGTCCCATCATCAATACCCTGATATATTGACATTATTCTTATATGTATGGAAAATAGACAAAAACTGACTCTCTAAGTACCTTAAATGAGTTTTGTATACTCCTATTCTATCCGTAGAAACTTTCGATAAAGAAATATTTTTAGCTAGCATTTGGGGCTGTCACCTTGTTCTCTCCCTGTGTAGATTTTTGAGTACTATGGGATGCACAGGAAAAAAAAATGTCCTATCTACGTAATGGTAGAAGAACAGAATTCCTGATTCTTTGTCTTTCAGCTTCCACAGTAAAGAAACTCAGGTTTCTTCTCAACATTAAGGGAAAAGTCCTTATTGTCAGCCAAAAAATACTTCCTGCTTGCATTTTTTTTAGTAGCCATTGTTTTCAAAGAATGAAAAAACAATGCTTGCTTAGAATGATATTTACGAGAATATAAAACAAGAAAATACTTTTCGAAGTATTTTGAAAGAATTATGAAGGTTACATATGAATTTTTGTTCTTTAAATATATATATATTTAAGAAAAGTTAATTTAAAAAAAAAAAACAACTTTTGGGGGGAATGGTTCAATTTCTATTAATTTGCCTCCTTTTAAAAAGTGATAGAAAATAAAAATTGTCAAAACATTTTGTTTAAGTATTTCCAAGACTGAAGACTGAACAACTTGCTCAGTTTTCTGATTCAAATCCCAGTTTATTTTTCAAATGTAAAAAAAAAAAAAAAAAAAAAAGTTTTTTGTTTTTTTTTAAAGAAATAAGCACTGGAATTAAATGTTCAGTGTTTTCCATAAGGGTGACACACATGAAGGCTACATTAATTTTTTTCTTCACTCTTTTTTCTAGAATTGTGTGAGTGGGGAATTAATTTTAGAACATAGAAGTAAAACTGTTAGCTTTGTTGCCTTCAGTCAAAACCTGACTGTTACACTCACTATTGAAATGGCATTCGTAATTGGGATGCAGTACACAATTAGACAGCTCTAATTTCTAATTTGTATCACTCAGCCTGGAAAGACGAATTTCAACCGCCCCTGTCTGTTCTCTGAAGAAATGTGACTGATGATAGCTCTCTACAGAAAAGTGTCCCTCTAAGGTTTGGAGTTGAGTTGTACCAGCACATTCTGACTCTAGCTGGATCTTCAAATATCATGTTTAGGTCTCAGTAAGTCTGATGATGAGAATAGAAGAGAGAAGATATGGAGAGGAATGAAAGGATGCTATGTGGCAAATGGCATTGCTTCTCTTGCCAAACCAGTAGGCATGGCTGAGAGCAGATGATGTAGTAGTCCTTGCTGTTGACAGCCTTCATGCAGCTGGAGCCCAAGCTTTTTTCTTATTTTATAGACAGATTTTGTCTTTCAAAAGAGTCTTTCTCATCTTCCTTTGTTTAGATTGACTATGAACTACGCTGCTATTGAGCCTTTTCTATAGGAGATTCATGAATCCATACATCATTCCTCTCAACATTGGCTATTCAGGACAGAAGAAAATTAGCTGAAGAGCAATTAGATTTTAACAACCATCAGCTGTTATTTATGATGCTGAGATTTAGACAGAGGGTGTTAAACTATTAGAAAGATTTTGAATTAGTAAAAGGTACGAAAGATAGAACCAATGGGCCATAGCTTCTACTGTTGCAATGAGTAAGGGAAGGCTATCCCAATTTACAGCTGAGGTTTTGATTTTGGGAACTTAATCATCTATCTATGCATTCTCCCTGTTGGGTATTGTTTGGCCTGGAAGAAATGGAATGTTCAAAAGCTGAGCTACTATGTTAGGAACTGGAGTACTCACTCCCCTCCTTAAAGCACATTGCACTTTGTGTAGACAAATGTTTGTGATGTAAATAGTAAACATTATTAATAGTTATGCAGCTTATGTATAGAAGTTTATTAAGATGCTTATAATATGGACAGAGAATTGCACACAAGAATCCAGAAATGTGTGATCAGTGACACCAGTTTAGAACTATACCAAAAAAAAATTAACAAAACAACAAAATAAGAAAAATTACAACCAGCTTTCGAAAGGTTTTGGCCTCTCAAAGAAATTCCAGTTAAATACAGACTATACAGAGAACTATGATAACTTAGTTTTTTAAAATGAAAAGCATTCTTATTTTTATATACTGGGGACAGGTTATACTATGATGATAATTTTTCCTTCCTTCCTTCCTTCCTTCCTTCCTTCCTTCCTTCCTTCCTTCCTTCCTTCCTTCCTTCCTTCCTTCCTTCCTTCCTTCCTTCCTTCCTTCCTTCCTTCCTTCTTTTTGAAGCATTGTTTATTTTATCCTGGAAGAACACATCAACACGGATAAAGTGAAAATAGAATATTTTTTAAGCATAGAAAACCCAAGGATATACATATGTATATCCATGCACCTCCTTATATATGTGTATCTACATATACAAACTTATAAATAAAGTTGCACTATATGTATCTTTGGATGGGCTATTTGCAGTCCAATGAATCTGTATTTCATGTCTCTTACTATGAACATGTTGGCAGTCTTGGAGGACAGCCTGGCTGTCCTGAAGGCCAGCTGGGTATTGAATAACACTATAATTTGCTCATTATTACTGCTGAACTGTTTTCAAGTGAGATGGACCCGGCAACAGCTGTTTGGCATTCAGTTTTAACCCAGTCTTTTTAGACTTGGAAAAGTCCTGGGTGATCAATATTTATACAACATTTGTTTTTAATGAGTTTTTAGACCTTCCTGAACTGTTACTGAAAAATGTGAGCAATCTGCTTGAATCCTGTTCATTAGCAGCAACCTCTGAGTGCTGTAATTTATCCTCTCTATGCAACACTGAAGTGCTTGAAGTACTGTACACCTAGCACTTTGGGAGCCGTAACTCCACACCTCTTATTAATAATTAGCTCAGGCTTCTCCGGGACAATAATGCTGGACTCCATGCAACATTTATAAGTTCCTTGTGTCTGTAATTCAATTAATAAGGTTGCTCTCAAGCTTCTTTAAATTCACAGTTAGCAAACAGGGCACACTTTGGCCTATCTTGTGATATAGATAATTTACCTATAACACATGATACCAGCTATTACAAAGCTCAGTTTTGTTGCCCTGTGTTGCTTTTGACACGTCCTCATGTTAGTAAAGTTGCACTACTTCCAAGGGGGTGTGCGTGCGTATGTGTGTGTTTTTGGTAATTGTTGAGGTTTCTAAAAGAATTCTATGAGATTAAGACTAATTTATACTGCTTGATTATTCCATGTTTCTTCACATTCTACTCTTAGAATAAAAGAAAAAATGAAAAGGACAAAGTGTTGCGAAAGTCTACTAGGATGTTTAAATGGAGGCCTTTTAAGTGAGGAGGATTAAATATCAAGGTAGAAAGCTGAATTAAATAACATATTGGTTTATACTTAACAAAAAAAAAACATGTAGCACAGACATGGAAAATACACTGAAAGTCTGTTCCCTGACTGAATGTTGTCGTGTTGTTGCTGAGCTTTCAAAGCTAGGAAGATTTTTACAGAAGAATTTCATTTATTTCAATTGCATAATGACAGAATCACAGAAGGGTTTGGAAGGTATCTCCAGAGGTCATCAAGTCCAACCCCGTTCTAAAGTAGGCTCTTTTCAGCAGGCAGCACAGGTGGGCATCCAGATGGGTCTTGAGTATCACCACAGAATGAGACTTCGCAACCTATCTTGGCAACTTGTTTCGGCACTCTGCTAGTTCAACAGTAAATACATTTTTCCTTGTGTTTTATGAAACCTCCTGTGTTTCAGTTTGTTACTAGTTTGTTACTACTGCCCCTTGTTCTGTCTTTGCACACAACTGAAAAGAGCCTGATCTCACACGCTTGGCTCCTGCGCTTCAGATACTTATAAAAGGTGATGAGGTACCCTCTCAGTCTTCTCCAGGGTGAAGGGTTCCAGGTGTTCCTTCAACCAGACTCTGCACTACTGATGCCAACCCTAGTTATTAACCCACCTCACTGTCCATTCATCTATCTCAACTTCATTGTAGAATGTTGTGGGACATGTTGTTAAATGCCTTGTGTTTAAAACACGTCAAGAAACATATTATCCACTGCTCTCCCTCCATGTACCCAGCCAATGATGACATCACAGAAGCTACTAGGTTGGTCAAGCATGATTTTTCCTTGGTGAGTCCATATTGATTACTCCTGATAACCATCTTCTCTTCCAATTGCTTGGAGATGACATCCAGAAAAAGTTATTCCAATCATCTTTCATAGAATCATAGAATGACATGGGTTGAAAAGCGCCTCAAAGATCATTGAGTTTCAACCCCCCTGCTATGTGCAGGGTCACCAACCAGCAGACCAGGCTGCCCAGAGCCACATCCAGCCTGGCCTTGAATGCCTCCAGGGATGGGGCATCCACAACCTCCTTGGGCAACCTGTTCCAGTGCCTCACCACCCTGTGTGAAAAATTTCCTCCTGACACCTAACCTAAACCTCCCCTGTCTCAGTTTAAAGCCATTTCCCCTTGTCCTATCACTATCCACCATCGTAAATGGCTGCTCCCCCTCTTGTTTATACACTCCCCTCAAGTACTGGAAGGCCACAGTAAGGTCTCCATGGAGGCTTCTCTTCTCCAAGCTAAACAAGACCAGTTCCCTCAACCTTTTTTCATAAAAGTAGTGCTCCAGCCCTCTGATCATCTTATTGGCCTTCCTCTGGATCTGCTCCGAGAGCTCTGTGTCTTTCCTGTGCTGGAGGCCCCAGGCCTGGATGCAGCATTCCTGATGGGGCCTCACAAGAGCTGAGTAGAGGGGGACAATCACCTCTCTCTGCCTGCTGTCCACTCCTCTTTTAATGCAGCCAGAACACACTTGGCCTTCCAGGCTGCAAGGGCACTCTACTGTCTCATGTCCAGTTTCTCTTCCACCAGGACCTCCAAGTCCTTCTCTGCAGGATTGCTCTCAAGCAGTTCTTCACCCAGTCTCTATAAACACCTGGGATTACCCCAGCCCAAGTGCAGCACCTTCCACTTGGCCTTGCTGGACCTCTTTTTGTTCAAATGGGCATAGGGCAGTGTTAGAGAAGGGAGAGATCTCAGCCACCAGCAAAGTGAAATCAAAGAATATGCTCAGAGATGTCAGCAATGTCAGCCCTGAAGATTTGGATCATCATGTCAAAAATTAGTTTTGGTTTGTTGTAGAAAGTCAGAAATTGAGTAAAAGCTTAAATAATATCAAAGCTCTTGAAAAATTGCTTGATAGAAGGTCCAGGAAGCAGAGACAGCTTCTTTTTGATGTTTATTTTTTTTTGTTTGTTTGTTTGTTTGTTTGTTTTAATCTTAAAGAAAAATTTCAATAAGACATATAAAACAAGCAAACACAAGGCATAGATTGAGATTAAAGGTAAATCTTTATATGATTTACACTGTGTAAAATTCATTCTTGTTCTGGCTTAATTTCATTGTAGATTTTTTTTTTTTGTGGAGTACCTTTTCCAGATACAGATACAAACTGTCCAATGTGGAGGATTTTCAAAGTGTTAGTGGTTGTTTTCCCCTTTAAATTTCTAATTTAATGCTTCATTAAAAAAACAAACTACAACAACGACACAAAACAAACGAATAAAATGTTCCCCAATGCCTATGTTTTGAAATCTTTGAGTTCTGCATCATAACTCCATGTAGTTTTTGACCAAAAGCATAGGCTTTCCACAGTTTCTGTAGGCTTCAATTTCAGCAATTTTTCATGAAATAGCCCACTGTTTGGGTTATTTGATGATAGAAGTGATGGTAAAAGGTATTTCTCTTAAGTGAGAAATATGGTATGGTGACTTAGGGGATCGGTAGTTATGTGCCCAAATTGATTCTGCAAGTGCAGCATTTGTGAGGATGCTGCCACCTGTCGTTAACAGTGGCTTGTATCTTTCCAGACGGTGCAGTAAGATTTTAAATCCTGAACATGTGCGTTTAAATGAGACTCTTGTCCACTTTTCCTGAAGATGAGAAACCTGTTTTCTCTCATTTGTTTGAGATAGGTCGTAGTAGTAAGGGCATAACTCTTTTGAGAGTCAAAAGGAAAGAATGAGATGTGAGCCAGAATACCTGAAAAGAACTTGGGTGATTTAGAAAATGCAAAGGGCTCGATTTGATGTCAAAAATCAGCTAAAGTAAAAAAAAAGTCAGATGCCAAGATTCAGAATATAAATGTGATGCAGCAGCCCAGAGTAAGAGATCTCTAGAGTCTTAAAAGGATCCTGAGGAACACTTTGAAGTGGTGAAGAGATGGCATGTGTGGCTGTGTATCTGAGGTGGTGGTTGGCTATTTTATTTTATTTTTCTCTGAGTCTGTCAATGTGTTTTGCCTCAGGGACAAAAAAGGGGGGGGTAGGGAGGAAAAGTTACTGTCTTGGGGTTCATGTCTAAATGTATAACAGTTTTTCCTTCTACCAACCCAAATCTTTGAAGGAAAAAAAAAAAAAAAAGGGAAAATTGCTAGGAAAAAGCCTGCTGTAATCCTGAGGATATCGGAAGAATTGGCACTAGTCCTGATACCTCATCAGCTGGATTTAGGCGTGAGCATTTGGAAAGAGAGTGCTCAGATGGGACTCAAAGAGGGAAAGATGAATTCAGTAGTTTGCATAATCTTGGGAAGCACAGAAACAAAAGAATGTAATCATCTGTGCCTTTCTTTTGCCCTTATTTTCCAGAGAAGCGCAGCTTTTTGTTGAAAAATTTGAAGGTGCTCTTGGAAAAGGAAAGGGAAAAAAGTTCTATGCGTACAAAGTGATGATGACCAAGGTAAGTGTATTACTTTACTAACTTCATGTTACACAAAAGTGGAGTCTTGGGTTGCTATATGTACTCATTTTCCAGAACAAATTTTCTTGTCTTTATCTGGTTATTAATGCTTTTGTTTCCTCTGTTTGCACATGAAACAATTTCTAATTAAGCTCACAGTTTGATTGGGACTTATCATCTGCTTATCACGTGTTTGATTGAGACTCTATCAATAGAAAAATTAACTGTTTTGCTAGAGTTGTAAAGACTCATATCTGAACACATCCCTTGAAAAAATTTCTATTGGTGTAGATGTTTCTCTACAGTCTGGATCTTAAGCCTAGTCTTTCCGTTGATCCTGAGAATCAGAAAGTGCCTTTTTGCCCACTGTAAAGATACCAGAGGCACCTCTATTGAGTCAAAACATAAGCAATATCTCAGATATATTCTAGGAAACTACATGCTGCTGCAAGAGTGTGATTGAGAGGCTGAAAAGTTGTTGCTGAGTACTCCATGTCCACATTATATGTGTTCTGGTCAGTTTTACTTTGATCCAAGTCCTGAGTGATTCCATGAACTAAATACACAGCAGTGGATATGGATTAGTACACTTCTAAAGTATGTTTTTCATATGAGTTTTATACTTTGGTAGATCTTTAAAGTGAATGTGGTAAATAGGCTGGTTTGGGAGATTCATTTCAAAAGTACACTCCTACTCAAAATAAAATGCTGTTGTGGAATGATACTACAAATGTTTGACAGGACTACTTATTCTATCCAGGTTTATCCTTAGGTAAATTGGCTTTTCTGCAGGCAGCTGTGTAGTCACATCTTATTAACATTAATATTCACAAAAAAGGTATTAGGCTTTAAAACTGAGCTGTGCACAAGAAGCTCAATTATGGAAGTTCCACTTATCCAATAGATAAAATAGTAAGTAGAGTAATTGCAATTAAATGACGCAGCTTGAGCTCCAAATCTGAATTATGTATAGCAAAGGAAAGAACAAATTAAATTCTCAGAAACAATTCCAAAAACTGAATGTCATGAAAGGAGGGGATTATTTGATCACTTTTCTTGTGGAAGAAATGGGAACTTCACATAAAGGCAGTGGGAGACATATTCAGAGCAAACGAAAAAGAGATGACTCTTCATAAGCTAGTGCTTCTGCCGCAGTGTGTTCTGCCAAAGAACTGTGTGTATGACTACGGGGTTATATTAGTTAGCTCAAAGAGAAATTGAACATCGGGTGTCAGAAATGATTTTTTTAAACTCCATGAATGTTTCAGAAATGGATGAAATTCCAAAGAGATTTTGAGAATTTTAAGACAGCCTGCATACCCTGGGAAATGAAAATTAAAGAGATTGAAAGTAAGTACTTGTGAATGATAATAAAGAGTACTATCTAGTATTGTATCTCTAATGCATGCCAAAATTCTAAATTACAGTACTTTAGAAGTACCTCCTTGTTCATACATACAGGTATAAAACACATGAATATTTCTTCTTCCATTAATATTAAAATTGATTTTGTAACCTGTTCAATGTTAGGCACCTTACAGATAATAAGACAGTATCAGAGATAAACTTGGAAAAGAGATATTGGGATTTAGTTGTTGTCTACCTCCACTTTATTTTGTCTGTATATCATAATTATTTCTATGACATTTTTTTCATAATCTTTAGACTTATTTAAGAGGTGTTGCAAAGTTAGCAGAGCTAGTATGAGATCACTTTTAAAAAACCTTATTTTATTATCAAACTCTGGTCAAAACCTCCAGATTTAATTAGAAATCAAATACAGAATATATTCCACACAGCTTCAAGCTGGTATGTGTGAACTCCACAAAATTAAATTTTCTTAATTGTTGATGTCTGCAGCAGTGCAGTTGTGTTAAAGACGCAGCAGAAGCAACTTTGCAGGAGGAAATGGACTTCTAGATGGCTACAAACCGAACAAAGACTTGGTTGCCCTTTGACTCCTATGTCACAATGCCAGTGGCTTTCTCTTTCCAGACTAAGTTTAATTACTTGTGTAACAACAATAACACTACTGACTTAAGCACATAATAGGTCTTGCTAAAGGAAACACATTGAACAATTCAGAGAATCCTGTTGGCAGAAGTTACCTCACACTTGAACACTGGATCCCTCAGAATGCACAGAAGCATGAGGAGAGGTGAAAGAAAGCTGTCAAACACTAGGATTGTACTCCAGGATCAATACTTAGCATACAGATATCATCATCAGACACCACTGTGTCTGTGATGGGTTGTAGTTTTGCGGCAAAATGTAGTTGCATTGAAGAAATCAACCACCGTCTACTCAACTGCTCATTTCTGAAGGAGACAGTACAGTAAAATATGCAGCAAATATCAGATTGTGACAGGCAAAATAGATTGCTTGAACCAGTCTTAGAAACCTGATGCACTATATAAAATGAATATAAAATGCACTGACACAGTTCATTTCTTTAAAACTGTGTCTGTACAATTGCTTTCCATATTACTACACAGTAGTGCAAGTTCACACTAGAATTTATTTTGTGATTATTTTTTACCATCAGAAGAAATATACCATCTGGTGTATTTTATTCACTAGATCAACATACCTGAAAATGAATGTTTCTAAGTAGCACCTGCTCTATGCAACAGAAGGACCAAGGGATTATAAATAGACAAACAGCTTCTTATTCCAAAGAAACCAGAGGCAACATTTTAAAGTAATACTCTAGTAATACTCTAGGGTAAATGCTAATATTATGCTAGGAGCTATTTTCTTTGAACACAAAAGTGGCCATTAAGCACAGAGGTATAAATACCAACAAATGCAGTAGGTGATGTCAGCAGCAGCTGAAAGAGTTAAAATTTATGAAACTTCAAATTCTATTTGAGTGTTGATCCTAACTAATAGAAAGTGTAAGTAGAAAGCTTATGAATGAAATAAAAGCCTGTCATCTATGTGCAGAATACTCTTTATAGGAGACTTCCTTATCTGTCTGAATACATTTGTGTGAGGAAGCGGTTAACACTCAGCAAACCTCCTTAGCTGTTAGCTTCTAACCAGTTATTTTTAAGCATAAGTCATTTCTGTACTCTTACATGAAGATGATTTTCATTTTCTGGTCTCAAAATGAGTTGTTTATAGAAGAATTCCAAGCAGGTGAGGCTGTAAGTGTTAACAGTAGGCAGTAAGTAGAATATTCTTACCACTGGGAAACACTCATCTTTATTCCTCAGTCCTTCACTTGCAGCTGAATAAGAAAGTATGACTTGTGTCAAATCAATCTTTGCCTTATAGATTAGAATTAATGCAGGAATATAATGATTGCTCTGAAAGTAAAGCCTCCTACAAGGCATACAGGGAGCACAATAACAGGACATTGTTTTTCAACATAGCCACCACCATTAACTACACATGTTCTCCCATGATGAACAGGAGTCTGCATACTGCACTCATATATAGGCCCTGATTAACTTGCATAAAATATTCTTTCTGTTCTTGTTTGAGGATCTGTAGGACCCACCCGATGTACCAACATTGCCACAATTGTTTTCAGTACACTGAAGGTGATATTGAACTCCGTACAGTTCCCTGGTCTTAATCTGCTGATTTGCATGGATTAACTTATTGAGACACTTTTCATTTTGTGGTGTGACATCTGTGCATGGTCATCTAGACTGTGGCTTGCCTGTCACATCACTGTCACTACTGCTGAAACACACCACCCACTGCCTCACCATGCTCACATCCGCTATTTGGTCTCCATAAGTGTTCATCAAGCATCAGTGAATGTCAGTGGGCATCATTCAGTGAAAAACCTTTGCTTCATATTCACTTCCATGTCAGACACTGTTTTGTCACTGTCCCTCTGCTGCCATCTGTCTCATGGCAACAAAAAGTAACAGGGTATTGATGGAAATCATGGAATCATAGAGTCATAGAATTACCAAAGTTGGAAAAGACTTCCAAGATCATCCAGTCCAACTGTCCACCTACCACCAATATTTTCTCACTGAACTATGTCCTTTAGTGGAACATCTAAACATTTCTTGAACACCTCCAGGGACGTTGATTCAACCACTTTCCTGAGCAGCCCATTCCAGCACTTGATGACTGTTCTGGAGAAGAAATTTTTCCTACTATGCAACTTGAACCTCCCCTGGTTCAACCTCTACTTCCATACCACCATTGTTTGTCTCTGACATTGTTGGCCAGCATAATAAAATAGGAGGCATTACTTTCAGAGCAGCACTCAAATGAATGCAGACTGGCATTAACTACACATTTAAAAGTTATAGAGACCTTTCTTCTTCTCACTCTGTGGACCAGCAATAGGTGGACCACCATTGTTCAGACACAAAAATTCTTGAAAGAGTCCTTTCTGTGATAATCACCAATATCATTCAGTATTAAGAAATGAATAATAAGGAAACAGAGTAAGGAAGAGGAAGAAAAAGGTAATTGCAGTTTATAAGCCCTAGAAAATAAAACTTCATTTTAAACTCTGCTTAGTTTTATGCTGTCCACAGTAGTGACTAAAAACCTTGTTCTCACCATTTTCCATGTTGCTTTCTGCTTCCTGAAATCATTCCCAAAAGAATGAGGATATTAAGATTGATCCAAAAGAACCCATGAAACAGGCATAGCTCTAGACCACGAGAGTCCAACATTTTAGCTTGTCTGGGCCACAGGATCATATAAAGACTAACTGATACTCCCTTTTTTTTACATCTTACGTTTTCATAGGTCACTTTGGGTCATCGGTAGCGTCTTATTTCATATTCTTACGCTGGATGTATGGAATAAACATGATTCTCTTTGGGCTGACGTTTGGACTTGTAATGGTGCCTGAGGTGTGATTTTTTTAAATTTTCATTGAAGATTGGTGTGTGAATTTCTGTCTTTGCTGTGACATTTCATAGGACCTGACCTTCAAATTTTATAATCTCTTTATGTGCCATTAAAAACTCTTAAGATGTACAAAAGTCATGAAGGCATATTTTCTTCATTGAAGGCTGTCTTTAGAGAGTTATCTTGAATTAGTCTTAACAGAAAAATGTATGTTAAGATTCTGTCCCCAAAATGGTCTTGCATGGCCTAAAATAGTGCTAAACTTTTCAAAAAAGAGGGCTTGTATGAAATTGAAATTGTTCTTTCATCTACTCTCTTTCAGTCTTTCTCAATCTCTCACTTTATTCTCTAGTGACCAAATCAGAAATTGTAAATTGGGAATTTCCAATTGTTTCTTAATATAACATTTCAATTGTGTGATCCATTTCCACAAGAGAATATGCCCAGCTATTCACAGGGAAAGGCCTGGGAAGTATCCCATGAGGATGTATATTCATGGCATCTTGCCAGAACACTGGGATTGAGAATCCAAAAATGGTATCCCTTCCATCTTCCCACGTATTTCAGTTAAATAACCAGTGAAATCCCATTTTACAAGAGAAACTAATCTTTTGGTTATGTCTTTAAAACAAGCTCTTCTGATGAATTTGAGCTTTATTGCCTTTGATTGTGACATGATAACACACTGATGCTAGTGAAATGTCACTTTAAATGTAGAAAATATCATTAATGCATACTTTAGGCATAGTTTCAAATATTAATGTGAGAAGGTGGGGAAGTAGGTCATTCTCATTAAGGCGCTAAGGAGCACAAGGAGAGTCTTCCTAAGAACTGACAGATCACTATCCCTTCCCTTTGTTAGTATTTTGCTTTAAAATGTAAATTGCTATCATTTCTTGTTTCTAGGCATTGATGGGAAAGCCATATGGCTCTTTACCTAGAAAAACTGTTCCAAGAGCTGAAGAAGCTACAGCTATGAACTTTGCTACCCTTTGGGATTTTAGTGTAAGTGCATAATCTTGCAATGATGCATTTTCACATGACTTTTTGATTATTAAGAACTTTGGATTCATTATTTAATATTTGAAGATTTAATGTGGAATATTTCAGGAGAAAATTGAAGTAGAAGTAATTTATTTCATTTTTACCCAAATTCTGAGCATAGATTTTTCACAGAGGTAAAATTTATGACAAATCTCAGAGTCCACATATACATTTCAGGATTTTAAGCAATACAAAGACTCACTGGAAAAATTTTCTGTACTGGATCCACATCTCTATATATTGAGGGTGTATTAAGGATGAATTTGATCATCTGTATTTAGCAGGTTAGCAGTTTATTCTGAAAGGTGTCATTCTCCTTTTTCATCCTGAAAACAGCTAGTCTAATTTTGCATGTGACATGTTTCTGCTGTTCTCCTCTTTGTATAAGGATGATCCAACTTGGTATAAAGTCAGCTGGGGATAAATTTTGTATTGCAGCACATTAGTTAGAAGTTCTTTATAGACAGTGGTCAAAAAAAGGTATTTTTCATCTGTGAAATGGTGTGAGTCTAGTTAAGATTTTCCTTCATATTGATAGAAGCAGCATCTATTGAGATAATAGTGAGTAATCTACCTCTCAGTCTGCTGCACTCCTTTTCTCTAAGGAGCACCAATACTGTAAAGATGTATCTTCTAGCACTTGAGTTTTTGCAGCTGTAGAAAACACAAATATGATTGTTGCAACCAAACTAATTTCTTTGGGAAATAAACTCAAGTGCAAATTCCTCCAACTTAGAGCTCAGTGCATCCAATCATTAGCATACTGACTTATGTTTAGAAACAGCCTCTCTGTGTGGTTTTGGTGTCTTTGAGATCCTGCTCCACCTGTGCTGGTGGCATGGAACAGTGCTGGATGCTAAGCTCTGCTTGAGCATTTTCATCAGGGCACAGGAAAATTTTTGTATGTATCCAGCATTAAACCCATCTGTGATCTTCCCTAAAAAAGATATAGTAATGTAGAATGATTATGCCTCTCCTTAATATTAGCATTTTTGACTCTGGTTCGGGTGTATAGAGATTCTTAATCTTCTAATATCTAGATCTCAGGGTTCTTTGTAGCTCAGTACTCTTATGTACTGCCTGAAATGCCTTCACATTTTGGCTCCTTTTTGTCTTTATTTTAAATATTCAGCCAACAGTGCAAGAAGAATCTGGTAATCAGACCACTGAACACAGGAAAATACTTAATTTCATAAATTCATTTTCTCGTTTATGAGCAAAGTCTTTCAGGCTTGTTAACTGCAAAACGCTGTATGTTAAACTAATGTAGTAATATGTAGAAAACACATTGATTGTCTCTCTTTTGACTGCAAATATATATAAAGTGGTCAGATGACTTCTGCTTTACTAATTCCACAATTCATGGTCCCTTCTTGTATAGATATGGATAGAAGTGAACATTACTTTTCTAAGAAAACATCTGTATAATATTTTCCAAGGACTGCTGCATAAAATGTTGAGCTCATCAGGAGTTACATACTTGAATGACAGGAAGAATATGTCTAGACATGTAGCTGGGAATTTAGATAATGATGACATTTTAAACAGATATTAAAGCGTCAGGGAGCTATTGGAGGAATATGAATTGTGTAGTGAATTGAAGCCTTTATAAAGAGAATACAGACTAAAAGAGGCTTATGCAGCAAATAGGAATAAAGTTTTTAAAATAAATAGAGCTGAGAAATGAAGAATGTAGTCAGAAGGTAGAAGGAGGAGGAAGTTATAACAACAGAGAGAAACAGCATTTGACAGCTATGTAGAAAGGTTAGTAAATAAAAGCAGCAGTTAATACAGGGAGCAGATGCAATGGAAATTAAAATAGAAGAGGGCAGTGAAAGGAATGAATCCTCTAAAATATTGAGGATAAAAAAGAATTTTCTTGAGGAATGTCAGATTGAAAAATATTGCCTGAAAACAGTGATATCTTCAATTAAGCAGTCTTTTATTTGGTAGCAGTTATGGAATGCTACAAAGTAAGTTAAGAGTATTTATTTATTTATTTTATATAATTTATTTATTTAATAATTATTTATGGCATATACTTCATTTTCAGCTAATAATTGCTAAATCTATTTTCTTTTAGTTTATACTATGATTCATTTCAGTTGTAGTGACAGCTACTATAGACAAAGCGCATGTTGCAATGAGAAATGTCTTTTAAATAATATGAGATACTGAACACCAAAAGGGAAGTAAATGGCTCTTTTCAACTAACAGAAACCTCATATTACTGTATCAGTGTCAAAATGATCTATCCACCAATTGCATTTTGACAGAACACTGTATTTGACTTGAATTCATTGCATTCAACTGGAGCTGTAGCCATGGTGAGCTGCTGTCAGAAAGTTTCTGCATACAGTCTTCTAGCTGTAACCTGGGGATTATCAGAAAGCCTCATTTATTTGGATCATTTTAGACACCAGCAATTGTTGATAGTTAACCATGTACTAGTAAATTACCCTGAAAAATCGTCAAACTGATCTGTAGAAGAGAAGGGGATTCTTGTTGCTTTTAGAAAAATAAAAAAAATGTCCAAACTGCTGAAAAGAAACATATGCCTACCTCACACTCTGTATAGCCTTGGAGTCTAAATGTTTTTAAAACACCTACATAGTGAATAATCATCCAAAAAAATGTAGTTATGTAATGACTAACATATTAAATGATCACCCAGTGAACAGAAAAGGGCTATTAGACAAAAAAGTTACATGAGAATTTTATGTCAAATAAGTTATGCCAGAATGTGGAAATGAAGCAAAAAATATTTCATTTCTGTTGCAAGTAATTTATAAAACAAAATATGAAGATGATTTTTTTTTTTTTTTTTTTTTTTTTGTAGATAGAGTTGCCATGAAAAGTTTTAAAGGAAAAAGATTTGAAAATTTACATTAAGTATTCTATTTTTTTAATATTACAAAAATGATTTTCCTCCTTCCTGTGAGCTTTATTACCGTAATGCTTATGACCATTTTGAACACACTTGAAAATAACGCTTCATCATGTCGAAACTGGTAGGATTCTGATTCTGTGCATTTCTAACAGATTTGTGATGTTACATCTTCTTGTTAAATTTTCAGGGCTTTGCACAGTATTCTGTGCTTTTTTATGGTTATTACAATAATCAGAGGACAATTGGATGGCTCAAGTTCAGGATGCCTCTTTCCTATTTCCTTGTTGGCGTTGGGACTATTGGCTACAGCTTTATGATTGTCATTCGAACGTAAGTTCACACTTATAAAAACAAGTAATATCAATGTTAGTCACTTGGATTTTCTTTCAGAAAATACACTTTGGAATGTAGCAATCTTAAGAGCAGGACAAATGCAACATCAGTGAAGTGAAAATGCAAGGAAAAGCTGAATTCTGTTAAAGTTGTATATAATTGCTTGGGCCTGTTCTTATTTACTTTTGCAGCAGCTGTCTTTCAGTGTTTTGTCGCTGGGAAAAATCCTTACAGAAATACCAGTACTTCCCTCCTGCAACTTCAAACTGTGAAATGAATGCATGAAGTAAGGAACAGAACCGTCAGACCATATTTTCATAATGCTCTGCATCTAGCATAATGGCAGTTAACATTCTGGAAATTCAACTGTTCTTCTTTCAGTGATACCTTATGTGAATTGAATTAAGAAGAAAGAAGGCAAAAAAGAAAGAAACATATGGCAAATAATTCTCTATGTAATTCATAGCCAGCAGTAAATGACTGTCCACAAGTCTATAGTGGTTAAGTCATGTTTACATGGTAGTATCAAAGAATAATATTGATCACAGTGAAGATTTAATGTCCCGAAAATAATTATCTCCGGCAGTGTTTTATCCAGGAAAACTGTGCTTAATAAAATGTAGTAAACATAAAGTTAAATCAGTAGGAAACATAGGTGTAAGTGAAACTGGGCCTAGGCAGTACAATTAGTGAGGTCTTAGGCTTTTGGCTCTCAAATTCTGGGTTTGAATTTTGTCTTACTAGCAGAATTAGATGAATATTCATTCACTATTATTTTATATTATTTGTATAAACAATGATGATTCTAATAGTTTCAGAGGAGATATACTGCTAGTGAACATAGTGTTTAATAACCTTGATTCAAGTACAGTGATCACCTACCTCAACAAATGCCCTTAGCTAGAAATACAGGTTTAGAAGTTTCTTAGTTTGGAATAATTGGAACACTGTAGGTCAGGATGCAAAGACATTTGTGAATTTAAAGAAAATCACAGTTAAAATATTCCAGTATTTTGTGATGTAGGCAACATTTTCCACTTTCAAAAGCACTAGATTAAATCATATTCAGTTTTTCAACTGTTACATGGTTTCCTGCATAGGAAAAAAGCATTCCAGAAGGGGAAAAAACAAAACAAAAAAACCTTCAATTACACATTTGTATTTTGGAGAACAAAACACTCATTCAATAATAAAAGTCATTAATTTAGGTTGAAAACATCCTTTATAATAGTTATTTATGTATTTGTGAAGATTAAAAAGAGAGTAATATTTGATAGTCACACAGACAAATAAAAACTAAAACTAAAAATTATTCTAACAGAATTCCTGAGTGCAAAACAGATGGGAAATCATGCTGTATGTAGTATCTTCCATCTCACCTGGCCATGTGACATTACTGCTGGTCTGTTACTAGGTGATCTTAAGAGCAGCTCTTGCAGTCTACTGATTATTGCTGTTTTTCCAGAAAGTAGTGCAACACGTCCTGTTAATTTTCATCTGGAAAGAGAATGCATGCATGCATGAAAGAGTTGGTGAAGAGTATAAGTAGTATTATTGTATTTAGGGAAAATAACTAGAATTACAGCTTCACTCTACACCTCATCCTATGGAAACAATATGGAAACATTTCTGGTCTCAAATAAATGACATTCTGAGCACAGGATTGTTCTCTATTTTGTTAGGAACATTTTAGAATTTTAGGCTCTTACCTTAGTCTAAAATTACCTTAGTCTAAAATCAGCAGCAGGGCAGATCCTATCAAGAGTGTTTCATAATATGCCCTTCTGTAAATAAACAGTAACAACAACAACAAACTAAACAAATAATTAGATTATGCCAGCTCCAGAGCGTTTGCTGTGTCCCTGACTTATAATTCTGCTTCTCCATTTGAGTGTATGAATTTCACTGGACAGTTAGAAATATGTTATATACCATGTATTGATATTAATAAAATGAATCTACAGCTTCAAAAAAAAAAAAAAAAAAAGGATTGCATTTTCCTGACCAAAAAAAATCAATGCAATGTCCAAGATTAAATAAGTAAATTTAGTAGTCAAGATGAGATCAAAACAATTAAGAAGGAATTTGATGTTTGTGGGTACCGTTACAAATCTCACTTAAAAATACATGTGTGATGGGAGGCAAGCCTGAGAGCTTTATTTAGTGATTTTTTATTTTGTTTTGGCTGGTTATTTTAGAATTATTCTCTTCTTCTTAATGAAGTCTCTAATCAAAATCTACTGCAACTTCTTTGAGATATCTACCTAACATTGTGTTTGAGTTTCTTATTCAGCAGAATTCCTCTGAGATGTTCACGAGATACATTGATTTTTTTCTCATGAAAATGAGTATTATTATCTGATAAATTCTCTAAAAATATCAAAATCTCCATTGTTTTCCCTTGTTTGAAGTAGATTTTTTTCATGAGTGATTATAATAAATATATTTCAGAATAGAGTTAGAACTTTAAGTAGAATTTTAAAAACATTCAGAGCAAAACTAGCTCTAATTGAGCCTTTCTGCATCTTTTCAATTTTTGTAGAATGGCAAGGAATGCAAATGATGATGGTGGTGGGGATGATACTAGCTTTAATTTCAGCTGGAAAATGTTCACAAGCTGGGACTACCTGATTGGCAATCCTGAGACAGCAGATAATAAGTTTGCTTCCATCACTACCAGCTTTAAGGTAAAACAAAGATCACTAGCGAGATGTAATTTGATTTATCTTTCACATTATTGTGAATCAGATGGAACTAAAGCCAAGTATAAACTGTCTGGAACCTAGATGCTTAACCAACTGGATTTGCAGTCATGATGTTAAACAGCAATAGGAACTGGAGGACCAAGCATTAGCTATACTGTCCTATCACGCACCACGCTGTTTCTTTCTGCACTAGTGATATAACCAGTTTGTTTCTACATACTGCCCACCTTTCCAACTATAGGCCTAAAATTTATCTGCATGTAAGATAAATGGAAAGAAAAGGTCTTAGGAAAACAGACACAAAATACTAAGCATTGAATGTCTTTGAAACTTCCATGCCTGCCTGTGAAAGTCAGCTATTGAATGACATTTGGAGAAGAACATAAATCAGCTGAGATGGAGACTTATTTTTGAGAAATACACTCATGAACATTTACTGTAATTTTTGCCAACAAGGAAAGTGTGAAGCCTTAGCTTGGCTGATGTTCTCGAGGTTTTGCTTAAAAGCTGCTGCAGTCTCCTTTCCTTTACATAATGAACACATGCAGTAGGAAAAGTGAAATCAAGATTAAAAAATAAACAAATAAATAAAATTACAATTCAGGAATCGAGCTTCCCTTCTGCACAACTGATGTCTATATCAAAACAAGAAGCTGTAAACAAACTTCTTTTTCATGAAGACATTACAGAGAGAAAAATCTTTCTGCTGGCAAAAGCAGGAAGCTTGAGACTTCATTTACAGCAGAGTCATGGCCAAGGGTAAATACTAGGCAAACATTTCATATTACAGTCTGAAGCTGTGTAATGTTTGTTTGTTTTCCTGTAATTCTAAGTGTAAACAGTTTTTTCATCCCCCCTCAATTTCTGATTCTCAATATGTATTGCTGTTTTATCACAAATGTGCATTTTTTTTAGTGTGACAGTTCCTTTTCTGGCAGTGAACTGTATGTGTATTGCTGGTGACTCAGTCTCACAGCACCTCATAAGCAGGCAGTGCTGATTTCATACTGAAGCATGAGAGAAGGTGTAATGAGAATTAGTGGGGATACACTAAATCAAAGCAAAGTGAATTCTGGGGATCCCAAACCCCAGAGTCCATAAAGGTCCAAAACGGATTTTCTGATACAATATGTGTTTGCCTGAAAACATGATGCCCAGGTGTGCATTTGCTTTGTCACAACTTATTTAACTGAATTCTAACAGGATAAGCAATGTAGAGTCTTGACCATTAAAGTACTGATAATCTTTTGTTTCTAACAAGCGCAGGAAGCTATCGTGGAGGAGCAGGAGAGCCGAAAGGAGGAAAATATTCACTTGACTCGGTTCCTGAGGGTGCTTGCTAACTTCTTAGCCATGTGCACACTTGCTGGGAGTGGCTACCTCATATTTTTTGTTGTGAGAAGATCCCAGAAATTTGCCCTGGAAGGTCTGGAGAACTACGGGTGGTGGGAAAGAAATGAAGTTCGTGCTAGCACATTTCTGAAATAGATGTGGTTTGAAACTGTTCCTTTACTCTGCATGTTGCTTTTTTTTTTTTTTTCTTTCCCCTCTTGATAACTTAAGTACTTGTAACAGGGGTGCTAAATGTGTAACAAAAGAACTCTTCTAGTCATAGAATCATAGAATCACAAGGATGGAAACAACCTGTAAGATCATCCAATCCAACCGTCTCCTCACCACCATTGCCACCACAAGCACTAAACCATATCACGCAGCACGTCATCCAGACGCCTCTTGAACACTGCCAGGGACTCCACCACCTCTCTGGGCAGCCATTCCAGTGCCTGACTACTCTCTGAGTGGTCTTGAAGAGCGTCTCTCTGCTTCCCAATTCATTAAAAAGAATATTCTTTGGTTTGCTCTTTCAAGTGCTCTTTCATGTTCAGTTTTCCTTTATGGGCTTAATCTTTATTTCTGGGGGGGCTCTTAAAACTGTTTTTCTTGCCACTCTATGGTCTCACAGTATCTCTTCAAGAAGCATGCTCTCCTGGTGCTTTTCTCTTGAGACTGGTCCAAGGAAAGTGACTTGTATGTGACCATGTCCAAAGTTAGCTGAGGCTTCTAAGATACGAGTATGCAGTGTAACAAAACATGCCTTCTAGCTTCACCTGCCAGTCTAGGAGTCCACTGTCTTTCTTTTCTTCTGTTCAATCCACTTTCCTCTTGAGCAAATGGAGCTTTGCTTGTTAGAGAAATAATGAAAATGATTGTGTTTGCAATCAGAACACAGTAAGCACCTAAAGTTAGCAATGCTGTATAAAAGCCTGGTTAGACTTTGCTTTCTTAACAAACATATTATTCTGTATGTTGTAAAACTAGATGTTTGTTATTTAAAGCTCTGAGCAAGAGTGTGAAGTTGAATTCTGATTTACAGCAAAGCAAAAAAATGCCATCCTCACAAAGCAGATGGGAATGGATAATGATGTTATGAAGAATGTCGTTCCCTAACTTAGAGCACCAAAACTTCACACAGAAATTGACATACAAACTTCAGCAATCTGCCTTTAGAATGTAGAGAAATGGGCCTGCTTAAATTGGATTTAGTCAGTTGACAAAAAAATTACTTTATTTTACTCTTTTTGGAAAAGTCATGTACAAAACTGTGTTCCTTAAAGAAATACGCCACATCTGGGTCTCTAATGAGTAAGTTAAACAATACTGGATCCTGTATTGACCTCTGGTGGACACAGCCAGATACTTGACACTGGGTCACTGATCACAGCCCTCAGAGTCCTGCAGTTCACACAGTTCTCAATCCACCTCACCATTCACTCATCCAGCTTGTGGTTTCCAGATCACAGAAAACAGCATTCACAGTGGAACTGTCAATGATATGAACAGTGGAAGAAAATCTGCTCCAGCACTTCAACTTGTAGTTGACAAGAAGTTCAGAACATAAGTCCATTCCCTTCTGAAATCAAACTGAAGTGATAAAATTCAATGAATGACATGTTTCCTTCTACTCAGAAAAATTCTATAAGTAACTGCAAAATATAATAATAACACTCTGTGAAACTAAATTAGGAAGTTTTAAACTTTTACATTGTGGAATCCATTAGTTTTTATAGTTTTTATAGTTTTGTTTTTTTTTTTAATTTTGAAAGCTCAGTATTCCATATTTTGTTTCAGTAAGCACTTGCATGTAATCATTTCATTTCACACTTCTCAGGTTTACAAGTTTTTGTGCATTGTTTCACCTCTTACCTTAATATCTTTCTCCCAGAACTTGAAATATTTTTGAGATGGGAAGTCAAAGCATGGGAAAATGCAGATAAAAAGAAAATGAGAAATAATATTCTTACTTCTTATAAATAAGAAGAAAGGCAGAACATAATAAAAATGTACAAATTTAATGATAAAGAAAATCAGTGATTTGTATCCTGCCTTTCCAACAGTGCAGCAACAAGGAAACTTCTTAATTTTCAATTAAGTTAACAAGTACTATATTTAAAACTACTTGAAGACCATACATTTTCTTCTATCACCCAAAATCAAGGAACTAGGGGATAACAAATGAGTCAAGTAGAACCAAGATTCAAAAAAGCGAAAGAAAAGGAATGCATGGGTGATGGATGCCAATAGTATAAGTATTGAAATTTATGTCTGTCTGAAGGAAGACTGTTCTAAGATAAGACAGATTTTCTGGGAGCTACTAAAGATAAAAAAAAGTACTGACTAAAGCAGTATTTTAAGTGAAAATAGTTGGAGTCTGGGACTCATAGACATTTTTCTTGTTCTTCCTCATTCACAACTGGGCTAGCCCCAAGGACTAGGCTAGGTCAAGTGTGGCCGAGGGCTTACATATGCTTACATTTCCACTCTCCAGCAAGAGGAATCTGATTTAAAGTTAAGAGCATTACAAGTGGACGTAACGTGTCTAATAACGACTTTGATACTCAGCCAGTTATAATGATTTTGTGTCTTAATAATTAATGATTTGCAGTGTTGGATGTAGTTGTCTCCAGCAGCTTTGCCATGTCGTGCCATACAGTTTATGATGTCTTTTGTTTAATGATGATTGAGAGTGCATGTGTTAGAAACAGATACTTTGTGAAATTTTAGATTTAAAAACATAAATAAGATAAACTCCACCATCCCAAACCAAGTATCAGAAATAGCACTAAATACACATGAAAGATTAGATTACTGTAATAAAAAAATCTAATTCTTCTGTGGTGCCACAAGAAGTGTGTGGAGTACGCTACCGATTTCCTATGAATATGAAATAGAAATATAAAAATCCAGAAATTACCTCTTGAACGTTAAAAACCAACAAAAAAACCAAAAGAAATACAGCAAACCATTTACTTATTTTAATTAAGAAGCCCAGTTCAGCAGATTAGAATTTGTAAGAGTGTGAATATACAAAAAGAGAGTAAATTTATTTGTTAAATAGTGCTTTTCTGTTGCCGTATTTTTTATGAGAACAAAAACCAATCTTATGTCTCTTGATATCAGGAAAGTAAGAACATATTAAAAATTACAATTGTTCTAGAAAAATGGATTCCAGGATATTTAAGAGATGTTATTTTCAGAGCAACTGGAAGACATTTAAGTATTTAAGGGTTTTTTTTTTGTGACTAAATAAATTCCTTTTTACTCAATGCCTTTAATATGAGTCATCTATACTGATATCTATAGATATCTATCTATTCCATAGAGATTTGTGATTTAACTTGAGATAATGTTTTCAGTTACTTGGTTGTTTATGGCCCCTTAAGGAAGAAATTTTGGTAAGGAAATGTTATTTGAAATTGAAATTTAAAAATGAAGTTCTAAACTTCTTCAATTTTCATTTTTGGCTGACACAGTCAATTAGATTTTGTGTTATTTCACCAAAAGACTCAAGCACATTTGCAATACATTTTATCAATCACTTCAGAATGTTAGATGCTTGGAATGCCTCCCTTGTCAGTAGAATACACAATCTATGCTGAATTTCAAATTTCCTATGAAAGCTTATTTTTCTCAGTTTGCTTTCAGTGAACTTGTTCAATTCCCATACATATGTGATGATGAATTAATCTTGTTAGAGGCATAAAAAAAAATATATGCAGAAAGCATCAAGACTAATTTGTGTTTGCTTATTCAGTGAGGATATAGGTGATGTCTCAGCCATTTAATTTAACATTGTACTTTTAGAGAAATGTTTCACATAGCTAATAATTTATGCTAAATTCTCTGATAGAATTTTGCTTAAAATGTAGATTGTAAGTAAAAATCTAGTATTTGACTTTTTTTCTGAGATTGAAGGAAAATATAAAATTAAAAAAAAACTCCACACTTCCATATATCTGTCTACAGTAGATCATAAGTTTTCACTTTGTTCTTTGCAAAAGCATCTTGTAACTCTCAGTGTGTATTCTGCTCTTCACTCATTTCAACTAAATACCAAATGAAAAGTAGCACTGAAAATGCACTCACCACTACAATTAGTAATAATAATAGATCCTGCCTCTAACATTTCACTGTAAACTTTTTTATCTTTTCGTCTCCCACCTCCCTAGGTAAACATGGTCATGTCACTTTTGGGAATGTTCTGTCCAACCTTATTTGATGTAATCAGTTCTCTGGAAAACTACCACCCTCGAATAGCTCTAAGATGGCAGCTTGGACGCATATTTGCTCTTTTTCTTGGCAATCTCTACACTTTCATTATTGCCCTAATGGATGAAATCAATCTCAAGGCAAGCTATTTAACTCTCTTCACTATTTTTAATATACACCAGGTCAAAGATATCTGTTTAAGACTGTCACAGACGTATCAGTGAAAGATGAGGGAGTCTTGGATTAGAAAGGATTTTGGTAGTATAACCTTATAATCTATTTTTTTTCCTCATTAATTTAAATATTTAGTTGGAAGAAGAAAAAATAGTCAAGTATAACATGACAATATGGGAAGCCAGTCTGTACAATGGCACTATTCCAGAAAATTCAACTGCTCCTCCAATACAGGTGGACCCTGCAGACGTTCCTAGAGGACCATGTTGGGAAACAATGGTAGGCCAGGTAATGTAACTTTTTGAGTTCATATTTGAAAATAAAACATAGTCTGTTACAAGAAATCATATTAAATTTCTGTTTATTCCTGCTGACAAGTTAAATTAAGTTGTGAAAACATGAGGAAATGAAGATGTAAGACTTATTTTTTTCCCAAGCTGCAAAGCTCAGAAACAGCTATTTTAATTTATTTGAATTTTATCTGGTAGGGAGATCCCTCTGCATAGTTAACAGCATAAAAGGATTTCTATTTTTTCTTCTTCTTTTTTTTTCATCTTCTTTGTCTCATCTCTGTCTTGCAAAGCCTGCAACTATGAAAAGTTGGATCAGTAGTAACAATTAATGTAGTAATTCTGATCAAAGTTTGTATCGAACAAGATCAGATTCTGAAGACAACAGACTTAGAACAGACTGATGAATATCTCAACAAGGAAATATGTGAGATTAGCTCTTGTTAGCAGTGTATATTTGAGAAGCCAAGTAATACCATGTAAAATAAAGAACATCAGTTTAGTAAATCTACTCATTTTGTTTGATTCAGTTAAGCATTCATAATTATTTGTATTATATGATATGATGCTTACAAAGAATTTCCCAACATGTTTCTTTTCTCTCATTGATCATCTCTCTCTCTTTTTTTTTTTTTTTTTTTTTTTTTTTTTTTTTTTTTTTTTTTTTTTTCCTGCCCATGAGACTGAATTCACCACTGAATCACAACTTATGGTATTGCTCCCTCACTGTGACAGTCTCCTCACTTATTATCAATACTCTCAAGTGGCAGCAGGGAACAGAAAGGCAGGAAGAAAACAAACACTGAACTCTTTTCACTGATATGGAATGATTAGCTAAGAACTCCCAGGTCTCATTACTCTGCTGATTTTCTCTGTATTTTCAGATCAGAGAGAACAATAATAGTTTTTTTTTTTGGCAATTAGGGTAAGCCCTGATACAGTAGAGTTTAGTGGAACTTACTGAAATAAGAGGAATAAGTATTGTAGAGTTTTCTTCTTTTTTTGAATCTCCTCAGAGTTGTAGTAATCAGAAGGGGTTTTAGAGTTTTTCTATAGCAGCAGTATTGTCTGGAAACATTTTTCAGACTAATCATGTAATTTGTTATGAGCATAAGAAGAAGTGGAGGATATCTGTAAAAAATGTAGGGCAGTCTTTCTCCTGGATTTCTCAGTTGTTGAACTGGGAGAAGACAGTCTTTACCAAATTGTAGCACAGGAAGCACATTTAGTCACACACTGGTCCAGTGTTTTATCATTATTGTAATTATTATTGCATACATGTATTCTTAAAAGAAAATATTGCTTTAACAGGAGTTTGTACGGCTGACAGTCTCTGACACGATGACAACATACATCACAATTCTAATTGGTGATTTCTTGAGAGCTGTCTTTGTTAGGTTTTTCAATTACTGCTGGTGCTGGGACTTGGAATATGGATTTGTAAGTATCTGATTTGCTATTTTAACTGTCCTTGTCAGATCGTCACTCACATGCATAAATACTGATAAGTGTGTACTTAATTTGTTGCTCATATTCAGTATACTCAGTGCTTGCAGCTAGAAAATATTCATGAATTAAAAAGAGACTGGTAAATGGGGTGAGTGAAGACATGGAAATGTCACTGAAATCTGTGAATGACACTTGCTAATATGAATAACAAGTTAGGAAGCCAACATTACATTTTCGCTGTATTGGGTCCATGGTGAATCACTGCTCCTAGTATGCACACTCCAGTGCTAAAACACATAGATTTAATACATTTTAGCATGTGAATATTCACACTATTTCTGTGAAGTACCCTCCTATTCCTAAAATTGCTATGCATATTAAAATATAGTACTATGAGCGTATTTTGTTGAATTCTCACAAGGCATTTAATTAATTAATTAATTCTTCAACAGTGCAATTTCTAAATTTAAAATATAAATATAGTTCTATCATTTGAAAAGGAATGAAATCTGAGCAGCCCCTTTTTTGGGGTGGGGGGCAGGAGAGGGCAGGGGATGGATAGGGTACTACCAAATCTTGATTTCACTCCAGTGGATAAAATAGGGATTATTGTTTTAAAATTTATCCAGTACCCAGAGATCTAATTTTCCATTAGCATCTTCTAAGCAAAGAAAGAAAAACAAACATCAATAAAATTCTGCAACCAGTATTAAAATCTGTCTGTTGGCCTTCAGCCATCCTCATTTGTCTCATTATTCACTGATAATATGCAATGAACATCTTTACAACACAATGCAAGTATTACACTGCTGTTGGAAATGACAGTTTTAATCTAGATAAACCATTTCAGAAGCTTCTGCGCAAATTTGATGAAGGCATTTGTTATTTCTTTCAGCCATCATATTCAGAATTTGATATAAGTGGGAATGTGCTCGGACTGATATTTAATCAAGGCATGATCTGGTAAGTGTGGCAATGTGTGCTATGTCTGTAATGTGCCTCTGTGCATTAGCACTCGCTGCAGTACTGCAGGAATTAGCAGCATGTGTGAAATGCCAATCTGTCTCATTGATTTAATTTGATGCTAGTGTAATGCAGTACTCCAGTACAGGGAAGTAAGTGGGTGTATTTCTAAAGTAGTTCTGTGCTGATATTCTGAGTCTAGATGAATCAGACTTTTGTAGAGTTTTGCAGTAAAAGGCTGGGTGAAATCCTGTCTTACTGTTGATTGTTTTCCAGTCATTTGAATGCTTTGAAACTGAAATATCCTCCAGTTTATTTCAATGCATCATGTGCAAAAGTGCCTTAAATATACATAGTACTATATGAATGTGAGTGTGTGTCAAATGTTCCTGCTACAATAGTAGTGAGTAGTCCTCGAGGAAAGATCTAAATTTCATTCCATTCTTGGAATGTAGCTGAGGGGTAAAGAACATCTATCCTCATATTAGATGCTGTGCCTTCTTCAGAACTGCCCTCCTCAAGCATCACTGACTTCTTAATTCTTGCTAGGGCCTTGCTTTTTGCCTTTAACAGTACTCTGTGGATTACAGTTTTTGCTTGAGTAAAACTCACTTCTGTAATTCCCATGGGGTTGTTTTATTAATTTATTTTTGGCCTGTACAGAATGAACAGAGCTGTACATACCTCCTTCCTGTGCATGCACAGACTTAGTCCTGCCTTGGACACCGCTAGAAATGAGGAGAGTGCTCCGTTTCCAGCTTCTGAGGAAGTGAGTTTTTGCTGGCACCATGCACTCCCACTACACCTCTCCTCAGGCTCCTCATCCCAGGGTCCAGCCACAGCACCACAGAAGCTTATCGCTCTTGAGCAACCTGAATACGTCCTTGGTGGTTCACATGGTCCCTGGATTTAGGCTGGTTCCAGCATGGATGTGGTGGCAGAGGAAGGGCTGAGTACAGCTGTGCAGCTGAAGGCAGCTCTCTGGGCTGAGCTGGACCTGGAGCATTATAATGGCTCTGTCCTTACTTTCAGTAGAATGGGGGCTTCACAGAATCTGTGACTTGTGTGTTTCTGATGTCATTTTGATATAGAATCTTTCTTCCTGCTTACTGATTCTTGCAGATTGACGAACTGAATACATCAAAACAGCAAAAACATTTGACCAAACAGTAATGAACATTCACTGCCAAAATGATATTTACCATTAATACATACATAGGATACAGAATCACAGAATCACAGAATCACAGAATTGTAGGGGTTGGAAGGGACCTCCAGAGATCATCGAGTCCAACCCCCTGCCAAAGCAGGTTCCCTACAGTAGGTCACACAGGTAGGCATCCAAGCAGGTCTTGAACATCTCCAGAGAAGGAGACTCCACCACCTCCCTGGGCAGCCTGTTCCAGTGCTCCGTCACCTCACTGTAAAGAAGTTCTTGCGCACATTTGTGCGGAACTTCCTATGCTGCAGTTTCCGGCCATTTCCCCTTGTCCTGTCTCCACTCACCACTGAAAACAGTCTGGCCTCGCCATTCTGCCCCCCACACCTTAGATATTTATAGACCTGGATCAGGTCCCCTCTCAGTCTTCTTTTCTCAAGGCTGAACAGACCCAGTTCACTCAGCCTTTCCTCATAGGAGAGATGCTCCAGGCCCTTCACCATCTTTGTGGCCCTCCGCTGGACTCTTTCCAAGAGATCCCTGTCTTTTTGTACTGGGGAGCCCAGAACTGGACGCAGTACTCCAGATGAGGTCTTACCAGGGCAGAGTAGAGGGGGAGGATCACCTCCCTCGACCTGCTGGCCACGCTCTTTTTAATGCACCCCAGTAAGCCATTGGCCTTTTTGGCCACAAGGGCACACTGCTGGCTCATGGCCAACCTGTCATCCACCAGGACACCCAGGTCCCTCTCCGCAGAGCTCCCCTCCAGCAGGTCATCCCCCAGCCTGTACTGGTGCATGCAATTATTCCTCTCCAGATGCAAGACTCTACACTTGCTTTTGTTAAACCTCATTCGTTTTTTTTCTGCCCAGCTCTCCAGCCTATCCAGGTCTTGCTGAATGGCAACACAGCCTTCAGGCGTGTCAGCCAATCCTCCCAACTTTGTATCATCAGCAAACTTGCTGAGGGTGGCCATTATCCCCTCATCAAGGTCATTGATGAAGATGTTGAACAAGACCGGACCCAGCACAGACCCCTGGGGGACACTGCTGGTTACAGGTCTCCAGCCAAACTCTGCACCACCAACAACGACCCTCTGTGCTCTGCCAGTCAGCCAGTTCTCAACCCACCTCACTGTCCAGTCATCTATCCCACACTTCCTCAGCTTTGTTATAAGGATGTCGTGGGGGACAGTATCAACATTCATTTCTGTTTTGTCCTGGTGTCACAAATTCAGTTTTCACAAATTCATGCTCATCTGAAACATAATAAAAAAAGCCTCAGGTGCAGTTATAACTGCCACTAAGATAGAAGGGATGAGAGATGTATGTGTGCATTATTTCTGTAGATGAGATAGACCATGAAAAGCTCCTTTATTCTCTTTCTCTGTGTATTCACAAAGTGATTGGGATGCAAAACATTTGCAAGTCTTCTCTATATCAAAAAGCTACTGGCAAGTTTTTGTCTACCTATAAGAAGTGTCATACCTAAAAACTAAAACTATATATTACTAAAAATGTAGATTACTGAGAATCTTCTTGATATTGAAGAGTATATTGCAATTGATTTCCATGTGGGTAAGGAGTAGGGCGGGCCATGAGGTACTCTGTGTCTTCAATCGTAGCTGTAAAGCCTTTATCTTTCCTTTTCACTGAATATACATGAAAGAAAAGGGAAATGTTAATATCATGTATTCTGAAATGACATCTCTGTAGTCTAGACGTAGTCAATGTAGCAAAAATAATTCCGTCCTAAAGTGATGCCAGTATATTAAGAAATATATAAGGAATAAACTAGATCATTATTATGGTAATACTTAGCTTTTGTGCTGTGCATGTTTATATAATACAACCTAAACTGACCTAATACTACCTAAACTAACCGTACAAGGTAAGTGAGTAACATTTCATTAAGTGATCTCATTTGCAGAGAAAGATGATTTTGGAATTTTGAAACAAAAACTGCATATGGAGAATTCTGTCCGTGTGCCTCCGGTATTTCTTAAAGCAAGGAGAGACAAGACCATTACAAAAAAAATAAAATAAAAAGTGTCAACGAGGTTGTATGAAATAATGCATTGTGCATGAATGCAAAGCAGAATGAAGTAGGGAACAGGCGGTATATCCTGGCAGAAGTTCTAGCAGAAAATGTTCTAAGATTGTGGGTTTTTTGCTTTTTTTTTTTCTAGGATGGGATCTTTTTATGCTCCATGTCTCCCAGCAATCAATGTGTTCCGACTCCATACTTCAATGTACCTGCAATGCTGGGCAGTGATGTGCTGCAATGTTCCCCAGGAGAGAGTCTTCAAAGCCTCCAGATCAAACAACTTCTACATGGCCATGTTGCTTTTCATTCTCTTTCTTTCTACACTGCCTGCTGTGTACACCATTGTCTCCATTCCACCATCTTTTGACTGTGGCCCTTTCAGGTCTTTTGCGTTTTATATACGTCTTTTGCTAATGATATGATGTACTGCCTCATCAGTGAATGATGCAGTAATGAAAATAAGCTTCCTTAATAAGTGTTAGCACCTGATATGCTGAATATTTATTGTGTGGCATTTCTTAGTGTAATGATTCTTGAAGCTGGAATCCAAGAAAACTGGTTAATGATTTAAAAGATTTTTTTTTTTTTTTTTTGAGTGTAGAACAGAAAATCTTTTCTTTTAGTTAGCTGTAATGTAAACATTTGTGGTTCTTGCTCTAATTAAGCCAGAAATTATTCTTGAGGAGTAGAGCAGTTGCCAGTTACGCCACTGTGGTCTTCTGGCTTGAGCATGGTGATTTTCAGTAAATGTCTATGTATCCCTTGTAATAGTGACATGATAGAATGTATACTGGTGCTGCAGCTCAAGGTGGTGGTACAGTATTTGAGTGCTATGACATCTCTAGCTGACACTATATTTCATGCTCGTTTATTTCCACTGGGGTCCTGAATATGCTCTCTGAGTTCTCAAGACTTCTGTATTCACTAGTCTTTTCTAAATAGTTAGGTCTGCTTCATGAGTGCAAACGTGTGCTTTCTATTCAAGCTAGTTTAAATATAGCCATACTTTCAATTGGAAAGTTCAGGACCATTTTCAGCATCTTTAATTGGTACTTAGCATGACATATGATTTTAGTGAGCACACAATATGTGAAATTCTGATTTTGGTTTATTTTGGTATATTCATTTAGCCACTTGCATTTGTCACAGTGACCTAAAGGGATAATAGTGTGACATTCTGATGATTTATTGAGGCATAATCTTGCTTAAATTTTACAGAAGTGATGATAACAAAGCAAATGGTGCAAAGTGAGGTTTCTTATTATTTGAGTCACAGCGTAGAGCCTGGCAGCATTCATCCAAGTACTGAAGCAGTTAGTGGATGTTTTTATCAATGATTTAGCAATGATCTTGGAAGATTAGAGAGGTGCCTGCCTGCTGGAAGCTGAACAGTGTTATACACATGAAGTATATGAGAGAAAACCCAGGAAAATATGGACCTGCTACTTCAACTGCATTATATGGGAAAGTTTTGGAGATTATTATGGGTTCTAGTGTGAAAGATGCTTACAGAATTTTAAGTTTTAAATAGGGCCAAATACAGGGTTTTTTTGTCCTTTTGCCCAGATTTGGCGTGATATGTTTTATTTATATATGCGTGCTCCTGTATTAACATTGCCAAAATATTTTTATTTTTCACATATTTTCACATTTTCTGTTTAATAGTGGGAAAACAAGAATGTTTGAAGTCATATCAGAAACTCTGGAGCATGACTTCCCTTCTTGGTTTGGGAAGGTATTTGGTTATGCCTCTAACCCTGGACTCATCCTACCTTTTATATTACTGATGGTGTACGTATAGAATATTAACTGACATCTTGCTTAATACTTAATGAAAAGTCTGTTCATTTTCTTTTACTCTGAGTTTTTATTGCTTAAGCAGAAGAATTCAAGTCTTCTATTTGGTCATAATTAATGTACTTTTCCACAGACGATGATCTCTTCAGCTTCAGCTTGCTTTTTTTTTTTTTTTTTTTTTTTTTTTTAAATGGAAAAATCCTAATCAAAATGCAAAGGGCTATGGAATTTGAAGTGTTGTGACCTTGATCAGCTTGTCCAGGAGGTAGAACTACATCTCATAAATCCTTAACAAGTTCAGTACAAAGTTATTAGAATGCTGGTTACCAAGAAGCTGAACTATTTCTCATTAACATTGTGTGTCTGATCTTGAGTGCCAGAGCCCTTCCTTGATAAAAATTGTACTCTTTGAGATGGAATTGAAGGGAGAGAGAGAGTTAGAGAGATATACAATAGAGATGTTCCAGTCACAAGTATATTTCTAAAATTCTCTTATGTTCAATTTCTTGTTATGGATTTTTAATAGGTCTGTAGCAGATAAAGAATAATGAACCTGAATAGTGTTTCTCAAAGACTGTATTGAGTCCTTGATAAAGGCATTTTAAACTAATGCACGTGTATAAAAATCTTTTTAGCATACTGAACTAAAAGCAAATTCTAGGTACAAATGGACAGGGGCTTACCCTACACTGTGGAACTGCCAGGAACACAATGAGACTACAGAATGGAACAGAAATTGCACAAGGCTTTTACATGAAACAAATGAGATTATGAGATGAAAGTTTAGGAAGATTCTCTTAGTGCTTCAACCTGTTTAACTCTTAGCTAGAAAAGCAAAGGGACTAAATTGTCCTCTGAACTATACTGTTTGTTCCCATTGAATTATTCTGAGTGCAATTCCTATCTTGCTATGGGACAAGGTGAAAATAAAAATAAAATTTAGGGGGTTGGGGGAAAGAAGGGGAGTGAATAAATAATATATTAAGCAAAATCAGGAAAAGTGGTGAAAATAAGACATGAAGATTATTTTGCTTCTTACTTCAATAAAAGATTTCCTATCAGAAATCCGTTAATTAAGATAGTAAAAAATAATGATCTCATAGAGTCATTATGAAAGGAATACAATTCATTAAAAAGTGAAAATTCACTATGTAGTGGTATTATTGTTTAATAGAATGAGGTTGTGATTTAGATCAAAAATTAAAAGTTATGATTTTGGCTATTTTTCTGCCAGTACTTGAGCTTGTCTGTTGTATTAGTTTAAAGACTCTTCTAAATATGGTTTACTCGTTTTTAGAGTATGTCATATAAGGTAATTAAATTTCATTGAATAACTTATTTAACTTTAGTCACTGGAACATGCCTCATAGTGAGGCATAGCCTGATGCAGAATTTACCTTAGCTGCCATATTTATTTCTGTTTTTTAAAACATTATTATTATTATTATTTCCCTTGAGATAAGCATGCCTTCTTCATATTCCATTGTTCAATGCCAAAATACTTGTTCTGATTAGGCCTAATAAATGAGGAAAAATACAGTTTTGGTATTAGCACAACTACAGTTATTGGTGTAGGAATTTTGCAAGAATCTTTCTATTTAAACTATTATCTAACAAGATATATTCTTTTTCTTTAAATTTAGCCTGAGTATTTATTATCTTAATGCTACATCCAAGTCCTACAAGGAAGCTAACCTGGAACTTAAAAAGAAACTACAAAGTGTAAGGAATTGGGAATTGTTATTTCTTTTTATTACAGTTGTTAGAGAATACATTCAGGTTACTGAAAGATGCCCTCTCTATCTCTCCATCATTAGCAAGCAGAAGAAAATAAAAGAAGAAATAAACAAAAGGCGCAAAAATCAAATGAACAAGAGGAAAATCCATTTGAGACAGAGCCACCACAGTCAAAGCAAAAAGAAGGCAAGCAAGATGAATCTGCTGCAAATCAAGGTAAATACAGATTTAAATTTCTCAAGATGAGGAATACTTGCACACTGGATCATAGGCTTCTTCTCTACCTTAACTACTCCTTTGCCATAATATCGATAAAAAATATTCACCATACTGCATGACAAGTGTTAGCCAGTCCATTTTTCTTTCTTTGGATCATTTAAGAAATATCATAATATCAAGTTCAGTTGCAGTGGGAGGGATTCTGCTTTTTCAGTCCCCTCCTGCCAAACCAAAAGTTTGAGGGCTGTGAGGCAAGCAGTTATCAGAGAAGAGCGAGGCAAAAAATAATTGTTAAGAGAAGCCCAGCCTTCTCTTTGTCTGTTATTAACAGCTTGCTTTTATCACTCAAGAGGGGGGATACACACTCCTGGATTTTCCTTTCCTGACTGAGGTACAGAGACTGTCCTGTTTCTACTCTTTTCCTGTCTCATGTCCCTCCAGAGCATGAACTCAGCCATTGCCTGTTCACTACAGCTCAAGCAACCTCCAATCCTGATGTCACCAGTCAGTTCATTTGCACTGGTGAGCAAACCACAGGTGCAGTATTGCATTACCCTTGGTTCAATTACTTGACTTAGGGAGTTATCCTCAATGCATTCCAGGAGACTCCTGGATTGCCTGCAGCTCACCATGCTATTTTTCCAGATGTCGGGGTAGTTAAAGTCCCCCAGGAGGACAAGAGCTTGTGATCACAGTGCCTGCTGTAGCTGGAGGTAGGACCTCATCAACAGGCTCTGCTTGGTTGGGTGGCTTGTAGTAGACACTGATGCAAGGGTCCCTTTGTTGCATCAGTCTCTGTCACCCATAGCTTTCAACTTGCTTGTGACTATTCTTTAGAGACAGCTCTTCACATTCTATTCCTTAGATTCTTGAAATAAAATGAACATTATATATCAAGCACATCAAGTATCTCAGACCTGTGGTAAAGAGGCACCAGTGGGGGTGGAGCAGGCAAGGATGATTTTAATTTGCAACTTCAATAGCAGATTTGCTTCCATCCTCTCCTTCCATTTGTATTCTTGCCCCCAGCCTTTCAATTTTTTTCCACAGCCTGATGTGATAACAGGCTGCCTTGGGTTTTGTGTTTTTTCCTTCAAATAACCTGTCTGTGCTGCATGGGTAAATAGTGGTTTCCCTGTTCCTTCTGTTTGTCCCCCATGACACCTTTTAATCTATATATTTCATCTTGCAGCCTGGGCACAAGGCAGAGCAGATCTACTTATAGCTCACACAGCTGTTGGAGCTTTGGGCCCTAGACTTTCCATCATATTCTGGAATAGATAATATGCTACAGATTTTCCCTCAGAGAGATTTTCTGCTCTATATTTTCATTCCTTAACTCTGTTCTCCTAACACATTTCAGATAACAAGAAAGAACAGAGTGGCAATGAAGCAAAAAAAACAGGTCAGCAACAGGAAGGAAGTTCCTCTCAGGCACCACAGCATCCAGGCACTGCCCCAAATGGCCACAATCCACCACAGGGCAGAGGAAACTTTCTTCCCCCACCCATTGCTGTGACTCGGCCACCAGGGCCACGAGGGTATGCAGCACCAGGCTATCTACCTGGGCACCCACGCTTTCCAGGGGTACAGCCAGGAATGCCCAGGGGACCTCCCCACTACAGATAAGGAAGCTGTCTGTCCTTTTCTGGTATGTTATAAGATACAGGACACCAAGGGAGATAGGAGTGATCTTGACTTGCAAAAATACTCCTTGAAGTACAGAACTCTGTTCTGTTTATTATAAATCTTCATCTGCATATTCATGTGCTTCATTTTTTGTGGGATGGAACTTTCCAGCAGAAAAAAAATGCATCTGTCTACTTGCTTTTAAAGATATTGCAAAAAATGTGTTAGCTGTGTCAAAATGTCGCAAAACTTAAGGTATGTATTGGAAAATATTATTGGGAAAATAAAAAATATTTTGTATTTTGTTGGTTGTTTTCTTAAAAGCTTGCAAGAGCGTCTCTTATACCATTTTCTTTTCCTCAAACATGTTTGCTGAGAACATAACTTCTTAATGTATTGGAGTCAGCTATATTTAAAAACTGCATATGGCTTGACCTCTGCAGTTGAGTTATGCTTACTCAAAGAGTTCTGATTTTGCATGATGAAACTCTGATCGTTTGAGAAGTTTGGTTATTATCTCTAAAGACTTTGGGAAATTATTGCAGAGGTAAAAGAAAAGCAATATTTTGCTATGAATAAAATTTAACTCCTATTGCAGTACCACTTTTAGCTAATACAGCAATAATGAGTTTTATCATATTCTGAAAGACTAAATATGAATTAAAATAATAAAGTGGTGAAGAAGTATTTCCTATGCACATATATGCAAATATGAATTTGAGGAATATAGGTAAGACTGTTACTCCATATTTTTCTCCTGATACTTACCAGGATTTTGTTATTGCACAGAGACATTTATTACTGTATAAGAATATATGCTATCGATCTGATCAGTGAATTTATTAGTGTAAATGTGTATTGACATCTAGATCCTTAGTGTGATGGGGTGGTAGAAACACAGGATAGATGCATGTTCATTTGTAAACTGTTGTTACTTATTCCAAAGAGACAGTTGTGTTTTTATGTTCTGATTTTATTAAGCTGTCCAGACTTTGGGCTTTGATACTTATTTTAATACTCAGAAGATAAATAACAACTATACAGTCAATAGACTGTCTTCTGAAAAATAAATGCAATTCTACTGGGGATTTTCTGTATAAAATGGGTCCATTTTGTACCATAGAAAAAAGTTTATCAGAATACCGCAAGTCTGTGGTATCCACCCCCCTCATCTCCCCCCACCCCAAAAGAAAAAGAAAAAGAAAAAAAAAAAAAGTCAATTTAATCAGGTTGTGGAACCTATCAAAAAAAGATTTACATAAAACTATAGGGTCTGCATATCGCCATAAAACATGGTCAGCCAAATGCACATTCCAGCTCAAGCAGTCTATAAATCAATTGCCAGAAGCTAGAAGGATAAACTAAAAAAAAGTTCATTCTATACTTAATTCTTGCACTGATTTTGTAAGCATCTGTTATCAGCTAGTGATAGGACATTAGATCAATCAGATCTTTAGCCAGCGTCAGCATGGCTGCCTTGTGTACAAACACAAAACAGTGCTAATTGAATCAAGAGATAACTGCATTGCAATAAGCACATAAGAAGGTCTTTCCTAGAAGACAAACTGGAATTGCATTGCTACTAACTGAGTGGATAAATGGGTTAAGAGTGGATCCAAAGGAAGGTATGCATCTGGGCTACAGTGATTCTGGTAATTTAAATTACATAAAGTACAGCATTTCATTTCATTTCATCTTTGGAAGACAAGATTTTTAATCTATTTTCAGAAAGTATAGAAATTCAAAGTTTTAAAAATGTGAAATATTCAAATATTAAATCTGAACACACTTTCAGTCCAGAAATACATTAGATTGTAAGCTAAAAATAAGCCTCAGTACTCTAGGGTTTTGTCTCATCCATGGGTTTAAAACAAGCTTTTTCAAAAAACAAGGAAATGTTTGTCATGAGATGTTAGTTTGAGAATTTTACACCTGCCACAGACATTCATATAGGAAAACACTGAGTTTTCCCTACAAAAAAGAAGATGCTATCTGCAATCAAGGCCATACATTACATCCTTGTTTTAGAAAAGGTGGAGAATTTTAAATATTCTTTGTGACATGGTGATCCATACAAAGGAGAAAAGATAGAAGAGGTTTTCAAGGTTGCTGAAATAAGTTAGAGTAATAAACTTGTTATGAAGCAGGCTGGTTCCATGAAACACACAGGCCTTAATAAGGATGTCTAGTTCCTTCAGGAGCGAAAAATTTCTGCATGTCTTTTGCTTAGTCTTTAAGTCTGCGGAATTGTTTTGCATTATGAATGGAAAAAGAGAGTCCACATGCTAAAATTATTCTGTTACAGTGATACATATTTTTCAACAATATTTTCAACAACAAATGTCTTCTCAGTGTGCATCTGAAAAGGCAGGGATTACCGTGAAATAGCTAACATGAATAACAGTAACAAGGATGGATGTTTCTTATGTCTTGTGATCAGCATCAAGATGCAGTGACTGTAAATAAAATATTTATTCTTGTTCCTTAATGTACCTAAGTGAAGACCTTTACTCACTGTTTTATGAAGCTTTGCTTTCAGTGTTTTCTAGCTTAGTTCTATTTAGTTGATTGACGTCTTATTAATAAAATAAGATGGATTTAACAGACAAGATCTGATATTATACCTTTCAATATTCAATATTAAATCCACATTTAGGAAAAGATGTTGGTTATTTTTTAAAAGTAACCTGAAAGTGTTTTAAAGTTCATTTCCTTTCTGTAAATCCTTTCTCCAACCCTTCTATATTTTGAGTCTTTGATTCAATTACTTCACCTCCACTTTTTTTTTTTTTTTTTTTTTTTTTTTTTTTTTTTTTAAAGCTGAGCATGTTCAGCTTGGAGATAATAAAGTTTCTGGAAGGCTTTGTTGCAGCCTTTCAGCATCTAAGGGGAACTTATAAACAAGATGGAGATCAACTTATTACATGCTCTAATAATAATAGAACAGGGGATAATAATAATAATAGAACAGGGGATAATGATTGTAAATTAAAACAGGAGAGACATATGCCTAAATTGCAATGATACACAGGAAAATCATGCATCTTGGTTAACAAAACTATGAAAAAGATATTTTTTGTATGACAATAAGTTTTTTTCTTATTACCTAAAGGCTGACTGATAAGACTGTATCATAGATTACGTAGATTCTAATGGCAACTTGTATCATATTTGAGTAAAAGCATTCACTGTTGAGTATTTACTTGTATTTACATTATTAGATTTTAAGTTCATTTAGAGAGCCAAAAGATGTCTGGCTTTAGCAGTAATAATTCAAGGAAAAAATAAATATCAGATCCCTAAATGCCCAGGGAGCATCTGAACATCTCTGTCTTGTAGTTCAATGATCTGAGTAATTTATCGTGTTTAGCATTAGATTTAAAAAAGAGTATTTCAGCTGCAATGCAGAGTCACAGAAAGCTGTGAGTCACATCTTGCTGAAATGTTAGCCACAACAACAACAGCAAAAAATAAATTGTACATTGAACATAACAGCTTATCTGAAGCTTTTTTGTTGTTCTTGGCTGTTGGAAGATATTTCACGTCTTTGGTTGGATAATATCACAAGTACGCATACTAAAAAAAATATTGACTATTTTATTTGGAAGTTGTACGGGCAAGAATTTCCAAACCTTGTGGTTAATTTTAATAAATAAAAGACCTTTAGGTCTTCATTATCATGAGTACATTTACATCATGCAGTAACTAATGATATTTGCAATAAATTCTATTTATCATTTATCTTTTGTCTTTTTTTTGTCCGCCCCTTTCCAACTCTTCATGGCTGCAGGCAGAACTTTCAATACTTCAAAATTTAAAATCATTGTGAGTAACCATAGCATTCTCTCCCTCTCTTGCCTGGAATTAGATTAGAAAAAATAATCCAATATGTAATCTGTAGTCAATAATCTCATATCACTAGAACAGGAATAGAAATATTTTAATTGGACAAATTTAAATTACTAAATCTTAGACCAAACAGTTTGCAGTCAATGTAAACTCTCTTCACTAAAGCTGTTAATCATTTTTTTTTTCTCACTACAAAATTGCACCTGTGCTCCTTAGAAGTCATCATCTCTGCAAAAATAAAGCTATTCTTATGCAATCAATTAACCAAAAGAGAGTTAGATGTGTAACAAAACACCAAACCATATTTTAAATCTCAAATAAGGAATGAGTCTCTTGGTTGTTTTTTTGTTTTTTTGTTTGTTTGTTTTTGTTTACTAGATAAAGCCTTTTTAAAAATCTAGATAAATCTTGACTAGATAAACTCTTCAAAAGAAGAAAGAAGTAAATGTAAAAAATGTAAAAAAAACAAAAAAAGAGAGAAAATTTAGTAAGTTTAAGGAAACACTTTTAAAGTCCTTTCAGAGATTCTCAAGGCATGGGGGCTAAACCTTCAATAAAACAGTGTAACCCACTGTGAGGATGCTATCAAGCTAATATCACAGAATCATGGAACTATTGCAATTGGAAGGGACCTCTAGAGATTATTGGGTCCAACTCCCCTGCAAAGCAGGCTCCCTACAGCAGGTTGCATAGGTAGGCAGGGTCTTGAACATCTCAGAGAAGGAGAATTCACAACATTTCTGGACAGCCTGTTCCAGTGCTCCATCACATTCACTGTGAAGAAGATCTCATCACATTTGTACACTTACTATGCTTCAGTTTGTGGCTATTTCCACTTGTACTATTGCCACACAACAATGAAAAGAGTCTGGCCATGTCTCTGCCTCCCACACCTTAGATATTTACGACCATTGATCAGATCCCTTCTCAGTTTTCCTATCTCAAGGGTGAACAGACACAGGTTGCTCAGCCTTTCCTCATAAGGGAGATGCTCCAGACCCTTGATCACCTTTGTGTATTTTCACTGGACTCTTTCCAGGAGATCCCTGTCTTTTTTGTACTGTGAAGCCCAGCACTGGTGAGGCATGGTGAGGGCAGAATAGATTTGGAGGATCTCCTCCCTTGATCTGTTGGCAACACTCCTTTTCATGCACCCATCGACCTCCTTGGCAACCATTGGTTCATGGCCAATCTGTTGTCCACCAGGAGGCCTAGGTCCACCTCCACAGAGCTCATCTCCAGCAGGTCATCTCTCAATCCATACTGGTGCATGCAGTTATTCCTCCCCAGGTGCAAGACTATATGCTTGCTCTTGTTAAACCTTATCTAGTTCCTCTCTGTCCAACTCTCCAGCCTATTCAGAACTCACTGAAAGGCAACACAGCCTTCTGATTTGTTGGCCATTCCTTTCAGCTTTGTATCATGTCTCGCTCCAATTTATAGGAGGGAGAGGAGGTTCTTTTAATATAACATACCTGGTGTGAGATTAAGAAACAACAGCTCAGATGTTGGTCCAACCAGTTTATTATAAATCCTAATCAGGGAGATGGAGAAGGGAAGGAGAGCGATAGAAAAGATGGGAAAGAAGCAAGAATTGCATAAATCCGGGATAGTCACCACCAGGATCCAGCAGCGGTCCCGTTGCACGATGTTTCAAAGGTCCAAGGCAAAAGCAGCAGGGGGAGAGCAGCAGCAGCATGGCCGGCCTTGGGCAGCAAGGTCTTCTTCATGAGGAATCTGTTGCCAGAAAACCAATCTCATGATTGTAGGTCCCCTTTTTATCCTTCTTCTT